TTTTAATCTACGAAAGCACGATTTGCGGAATTTACTAAACAACAATCAGCTAGTGTCGGGATATGGAAATATAATGATTTAAATGTGAAATACTATTTTTTTTTATCACTTGAAACTGTATTCCTGTTGGGCTTCGTCAAGTCCCGCGTCAGCATAGTCATACTCTGGTTTACTTTTTTCAGCCATCAAAAAAAAAAAAAAACGAAATCACGAAAACAAATCAAATATACAAATGTTTTAATGAAGGGAAGTCGACTCAAACCAATCTTGATTATCTAACAGCGACATACAAAGTTGTGAAATCTAAATCAGATTTAACAGGCAGGAAGTCGAATCATTAGATTTGTTGTTATTGGCGAGTAGAACTTTTTTTGATTACCATCCAACAACGCACACTAACAGGTACTATGAAAAATAAAATTATATGTATATAATATTATCGCTTCTTCACAAAGAAGTTAAAATCCTAAATTTGTGTAACCCATGACCCATTTTCCAGAATCGCTTACGAAAAAAGATGTGCGTTGTTTCACTGTAGAGCTAATAAAATAATTAAATCTGACGATGATGCTATGTGGCTGGAGACATATGTTGGTGTTAATAATATATATACCTTAAATATTACCTTGTTAATATGTATCGGTTAGATTATCTTCGACTTCATAAATATTAACGGAAAGACTCGAAAAAAACATGTTAGCAGCAATTAGCTGAATAAGATAATTAAGTATGTTATACAAGCTGATACGAGTTAACTCCTTAATCTAGAATGAACATGCAAATGTAAACAATATGTACCAGTGCTGCTGTTTTTAATGCTGCACGAAAAAAACTAAACATCTTGAATGTTTCCATTCGCTGTTATCCCAAGTTTAAAAGAGTACAGGTACACATAGCCAGCATCAAAAAATTGAATAACGAACGCAATCGGAGAATTGGAATGAGCCCGAATTGACGACCGGCTTCTTACGACTGAAATTGCTGACCACCACTCTCTGCGATGCCTCCTACACCAGCAACCGCTCCTGCTCGATCATTTACAATAGAAAATGCTGCTGCAACAACAGTTTTTCGTTTCCATGAAGCAAATAATTATTCTAGTGGATGACATTCTAGTTATTGATAGTTAAAATTAAAAGGCCCATGCGATATTTTTCTTTGGAAAGCTAATGCCTATTAATGGCAATGCCTGCATTCATTAATGAGTGACTTTTTTGGACAACTGTGATCCTCAAGCCTTCTTTCTACCCAACACATGGCATTACGTATATGGAAATAGGAGATAGGAGTCCAAACTCTTACTATTCGTGGCGAGAAACTGAAAAACAATTTACAAAAATTGAGACAATGGTAACACAATAATGAAACATCTTTTTGATTTAATACATTAAGTAAGAAGGCACCAATCTTATGATCAACTTCAATTTTTCATGAAGGCCCAAATGGTTGACGAGTTGAAAAAATAAAGCCACATCAAACATTCATTAGCAAATTATTTTTGACGCACGATAATCACCATTGTTGTTATTAACACACACTAATTTGCTTCTATAATATTCACCCAGAAGCGACTATTCTCGTGGTTTTAAGTTCATCAATATTCAATCGTAGAGGATGAAGAAAATGCGATTACGTATGAATGCCGGCGCAGTCAGTAGCATTGTCAATTTCTGATGAGATCACAATGAGACACTTTTGCTATCAAATTTTGAATGAACACCAAGTTAGAAATATTCTAACAACATATTGTCCACCTTACAAATAGTATTGTAAAATAGAGCAAAACATGTCATGTTATATAAGCAGGGATGCCCAACCGACTAAAATCTTCAAAATAGCTCGCGATCGACTGATCGGTAATAGGGTCAAAGACAAAAAAAATGAGTACTAAATATGCGAAATAGTTTTCAAATTCAAAATTTCCGATGCCATAATGATTTTTCTGCCAGGTAAAATATTTAAATCATGACATCTACGGCAATTTAAAATGTCTTTTTATATTAATTATTTGTGTTCAATGGAACTCGCGATTGTGCCGACTTACGACAAAATAAACATACGACGGCAATCTGCGAACATAAAAATCTGAGAAAATCTTCCAGATAATATTTAGTTTTGATACGTATCTTTGCTATTGCCGTTAGAAAAATCTCAAGAGCTGCTATAAAATCCCAGGGAGTACGATTTAATTTAGTACCTTAAAAATTTATATAAAATATATAGTATATCAAAATTACATATTTATCGTCTCGAAATCTCCGCGGAACGGCTTCTGAAACAGTTGCCAAAATTATGTAACTCGCTTAAAAAAGCCGATTCTTTCAACGGATAACGATCTTTTTTTGCGAAAAATAACCAATCCATAAGGGCATATTTGGAATGCCTTAATAGTGTTCAATTCAACCTGCCCTTGCTTCAACACAAAAAGCATTATTACACTAAAATACTACGGCAATCTGCGGACACAAAAAGTGCCCGTTTATATCGTGTTTTGTGATTTCGTAAACTCAGCAAATCTGAGCCGTTCTTGCAGCATTGGCTTCACTCTATTTTAAAGAGCTTCACATTGCCAGTTGTAATTTCAGTTGAATTTGAGAGTTCAGACAGTTTCAGTTCAATTTGAGAGAGATAATATCAGAGAAAACGTCAAGTAGAATTCCAAATATGAGTATTAACTGGATAGAAGAACTAATAATAATAAAAAATGTTCAAACCAGTGACAAAATAAATAAATAGTGAAATAATAACAGAGAATGCTTAAAAATTTCATGATACACAAATTGAATGCATCTTATATAAAAGAACCATGACTGCATATGATAAATGCGTTGGGAAACTACAGGACAACTCTAAATTGATAAGTGATGGGTTGAAGCTATTGAAAATCAATTGCGATCTTTCGGAAATAATCTGCTTCGTGGAGTTTGAAGGTATACCGAAGGGATACCAGGCTTCCAGATATCGTGTATCTTTACGATCATTCCTCCCTGCCCCTGCCGTTATGTGTAGGACCAACCTTATTACCTTTGTGATAGATATATTTAATGTGATTCATTTCACACAAAAATGCAAAACAATGTACCTCTTAGGTCACAGTTTAGAAACTCTGCTGAATTTATAAGATGATCATAAAATCACCAAAAGACTTTGCGTCATTGGTTACGTTATATTGATATTTTGAGGAGTTGTTTAGTCATCGACAAATGAAATGAATTTTAGAACTCATTTTTAATTTAAACGCAGAGGAAACAAGATTGAAATATTTAACACTTCTCCTGGGTGATGTAAAAACTATTTCATGTATGCATTGTCTGTGTTTTAGTATTTAGTTTATGCAGCATTAATTCATCAAATCTTATATATGGATTACATAGAACATGTTAAAAAGTCAGATTTTTGAATGAATTTGTCACACAATTGGTATTTAGGTTAAAACTAAAAAAGCCTATTTGACATTGGAATTCAGTAATAAATAGTGAGCAATACTCAGATTTCTTTTCCTTTTTAAAAAGCTGTTTATTTTTTCGTCCTGTCCCGCCGTGCAGTATACTAGACCAGTGTTTTCCCGTGCGCCGCCTTAAAATCCCATTGAGTCGCTTGTTATTTCAACAAAAATTCAAAGTTAATTGATTTATTTTTCTTAGAAAATTTTATTGTTTATTGGACACAAAGTGGACCTATGGATCGTGTTGTTATTCTTCTTCTTCTTTTAACCGCATGAAAAAATCGCTTTTCTCACTAATGGACCCATTCTCTTGAAATTTTCAGTGGTTGAAGATTGTACTTTTCGCTAGAAGGCTTTTATTTATTCCTGGATTTTTTGTGAATCCTATTAGATCTTATATTTTATCCAAAATTTCGCCATATTTTTTTTTAATTTTTCATGGGAACACGGTTTTTAATCCACCAAGCCTGACGGTCGTTTTCGATTTTACGCGACGCTACGCGAAACTTTGTTTTGTACACGATTTCAAAAATGGTGGCAAATAACATTAGCGCAGTTGCAATTCCACGTTTTTGTGCAATAATTTTAATTCTATTTGACAAAATAATGCAATTCAAGAATATTAGTTATCTTTACATTCCTCTATCTAATTTGTTGTAAAATGACATCAATAGTGCAATTAATTATGGTAGTATTAAACTTTTAATGCCTCATCTGATGAAAAAAGCTTTTTATGCCTAAAACTGATGTATGAAGCAAAATTTTGATGATATATTGCAGCGTTTCCCAAACTTTTTTACCCGGTACACCTACGCTTTTTATCTCGCCTCGCAGAACACCAAAAAGTTAGAAGGTAAAATTGATGGAAGGTTTCCAGAAAATTTGCAAAAAGTCTGCGGTAAACTTGACAATTAAAAATTTAGACCGACGGTTAACGATAATGAATTGTTAACGAAAACTCCATGCTTTCCAGAGTCAGATTGGCACGAGGCATGTTCGCCTTTTTACATAGCAAGGCTTGTCCGTCAGTCGGAAAACAAATTTATAACCCAGCGTCGTCGAAATACGCCGGGTATCGCCATGGCGACAAATTTAATCGCAATTTTGATCCCTGTGCCGCAGAACGCTGCGAAGAAGCTCGGGTGAACAGCAGTGTTCCGCGAAATAGTGCGATACTTCGCTACATGCAAGGCTGATAAAATGAAGTTACTTTGATCGAGATTTTGTGCTGGGTTAAAAAGTAATAAAATGTAAAGACGAATTCATTTTCTGGGTTCCAGTTATGATTTCGTCTGACCACTTAAATCACTTAGAATAGCAATCTTCAATCTATCTGAAGCATCCCTGCATTATATGCATGCGGATCTATCGGCACAAAACCATAGAAGAAGGATAAGTAGTTAGTCTCGCAAAAACCAATCAATAACAGGCATATTAGACAATGTGTAATTCTTCTACGTATCGATGCATTTACACTCCTGGTTTTTGAAGCTTAATGACAAAGCTAGGTCGGGTTTGGCCTATCCGAGTTTCTTATCTTACAACTAAAATAATATTCATATCCATATATAGTATAATCGTCACATTGTAACAATTCAAAGATAAATATATTGATTGCAATATAACGGTATAAGTTTCATAATCGTTAATTTTGAGCGAACATCCTAATTTTTGTGTTCCGCGTAAAACCATATTCGGATATCTGTTTGGTCCAATTATTTATTCGCATCAACTTGTTGGCAAGGATACATGTCTGTATTTATTCCATATTTATCCATAGCCCGTTGGAATTCATTAATTTGATGTTGTGTAGGCCTAGATGTAGGAAATTGCGTCCACACGATCCATTCATCTGGAAAACAAGAGAGCTATGCTGAAACATATGGACACGAACACCAAATCGAAGTAGTACCCTACGGGTATGCAAGCTGTTACAGTAGACTACAGTTACCGCGACCTTTACGACGAATACGAACTCGGAACCGCCACGAGGTGCGCAATTATTGATGAAGTCATGGAGCACAAAAACGAATCCCATAAAGACCACAAAAATTAAAGAGTCATAGCTTTCTAGCGAAAAATACAATCCTCAATCACCGGGCACAATAGCGAGATATTGTCATGCTTCTATCCCCTTAGGTTGAAGCTTAGGTTAGGATAGGATTAACATATTTATCCTGGGGGAAGCCTATAAGACGATTCAATCACATGGCTGACCACCGCCTTTGGTCCGGTTACTATAGTCCATGTCGGGTATGGGATTAGTTGGTCATTTATTTGTTTTCAGATCCATGGACTTGATGGTGGATGAAGCCGTAACCGAGCAGTGGTTACGTAAACCCTCCAGCGGCGGCGAGGAGTACAGTAATCCTCCTGCGTATGATTATCCACGCATGGGATTCGAACCTGCGAACCAACGCAAGGTAATCAGAATTACGGCGGCGAGCGTATTCCTAACGCTTAGCACTATGCGCCGCACAACATCTAGCCCAGAGGAAAAAAATTCACTGACTTTATGACAACTGTGTGGCCACTGAATTTAAAATTGATCTTTTTATCCTGAAGTTTCGCATTGTTTGCCTTTCGATAGGTTTAGTATCAAAATGTCAAATTAGATATACATGACAGAGATAAGACACGTACCGCACCGAAACTTTGAACCTCGATATACTTGGAGTCATACATCAGTAGTATTTCTATTCGATATACTAAGGTAGCAAAAATTCGAAATTCCTCGAAAGATATCTAAAAGCACGACAATAATTGAGATATAAATTTTATATCATACATACCAGAAACACACCATGCATGGATGAAGTAGTTTTTTCCATCACTTAAAAGAATGGTAGGAGAATCCAACCTGGCTTTGTCTACAGGAAGAAGTAAATTTATTGATACGAAGTGGAGCACATCTATTTGGAATAGCTCGGCCTTGTATTAGGTAGGCGTATAGAATGTAACTAATGCAGCATAAAACAATATCTTCGGTACAATTGTAGTGGTGTTAAACGTTCAAGTTTCATTAACTTGTCTGGACGTTTTTTTGCCGACAATAAGACTTCAGTTTTAGTGAATACCGAATAAATTACGTTCTCTGTTTCTAGCTATTTTAACTATCATGATATGCACGACATTGCCTACCCAAGGACTCTTCAAACTTGGGTTTCCGACCCGTAGGCGAGATGGTTGCATGGGATGGGGGTTCAACCCTTGAGTTATGTATTGAAAATTATCTCACCAAAACTGGCAGCATTTTCGTTGGTTTTTCCATCAGGATACTGAGATTCGGCTTTAATTATCGCATCATCTTGAAAATAAATTACAAATTACAATACAAAGTGAAGCCAGAAATTTCATAATTGAGTAATCGAATTCGTGTATAAGTTGTCCTTCTTTACTTTTGCTCTGAATGCATAATAGAACTGAATCAAGCAACAACGAATATGCAGTAATGATTGCTGTTACACTCGAAATCGGTACTCTATTCTAAAGCCTGTTTTAAAGCTTACGAACCTATATTTATGAATATTATAAAGGAAACTGTTCGTCTCAACTTTCCAACATGATCCCACCAGGAATAGAACTACCCAAAAATAGCCCTTGGTCCGACTTATACAAGTAACATCAAAATTGGTTCATCGAACGTTTTCAGTGCTTCGAGTGTTAGACTTATATGTTTGGAGTTCAAGGCTGGGACAGGCAGGCTTCAATTAAAATTCGTTTATTTCATGATAATATTATTTCACTTGCATGCCTAAAGTTGTACTCACCATCATTTTTCTCGACTGCGTAAATACCATTGTCTTGTCGAATAAAGTGAGCAGGAAAAATGCTTGCAGGTGAACTGAATAAAATTTGTGAATGAAAAGCAAAAAATTATTTTTATGGTTTTACGATTATATGAAGTATTGATGTAATTTGAAACGCCGATTAAAGTTGCAATAATATTTAGTTGTTACTACTAGTGAGTAGTGACTAGAAAATCAGAAATATTTATCGGGGTGGAATTGGCTGCCGTTGTGCATTCAATCTGTGGACGGTTCGAATTTATTTATCTGGTAGTGTAGTAGAGAATACAATTGATTCAAATAACATAGAAATTTAGGGTTGCCATACGCCAGATTTTTCCCTGACTTGTCCGGGATTTCAGTGGTCAAATTTGCGTCAAGGAGAAATGTTGAAAAGTGCCTAAATGTCGGGGATTTTTGAATACAGTGAATCCCTGCTACAAATCCACGAGTTTTCAGATATTGTGCATCCACCAAATTCTATTTTGTTAGAGATATGTCACACGCAGGCATTTTTGGGCAACACAGATTGTGTCAAATTTAGATAATTGTGATGTCACATATGACCCGAATTGCCAGCATTTTGTAATCGGTATTTTGGTTGCACCACCTGTACTTTGTTCCGTGCTAGGGTTCAGTCACTAGTGCTAACGATTAAGTAGGCTTGTGCCTTTGTATACATTGTGAATTTATACCATAATACTGTACAGTGTTCAGTATAAGAGTTTTGGTTGCAAAATAGGTCAACGTGACTCATTAAAATTTTGTAAGGGATTTTGTCTTCCCAGATATGGTAACTCTAACCTATGATGATATTCTGTGATCACAACAGAGCCGCCGCTTGGTGTCGATGTAACATTTTCCATTTTGGAGCAAAGAACATCTTTTGACTTCACAGCATCGTTTGTGTGTAGGCCCAAATACCATGTCTTTGGCATCTAGAGTAAAACGAATAAATATGTGTTACATATTTTACGTGTGTTGTAGCTAGGCTTGCACGTAATTGACAAAAATCAATTCCGTAATTACGACAAAATCAATTACGTAATGACCCCGTAATTGCGATATTTTTCCACGCATTTAAACCTATCATAACAACCAATTGAATCCACTTCTTTTCCGAATGGGGCATTGAAGTTGGGTTTTAATATTCCGGGCAGTACTACACGCCGTCGGCAGATGTTAAAGACAAATATCAAGGAGTGAATTCAAATTAATTTTATTCTGATTTTTATCTTTTGTGTTAGCTTTGGTTTTCCTTTATCACCTTCGCAAATTAACCGTCCCATTTTTATGCGATCAATTTTATTTTATCATTACCGACACTGGTATACGGATATTTATGGAAACGATAGTTTTTTAAAACCACTTTAGTACTGAATAAAAATTACGGGTTTCTGATTTATTAACCAACGACGAGCGTATTCTCTCGTTTGATTATACTTGCGATTTCCTCGCGACGAAGACTTGGTTTTTGCAGCGTCTCCTGCATTATCCGACATTACTGCCTTGTTTGCCATTTTATAATAATAATTGATAATAATAATATTGATGTCGACTTATTGACGATATTCCGATTACCATGCTTCATTTTACATTTAATCATTTCGCGGACTGAATGTTTATAACATTATTTGCGATAAATTTAGATCAAATATTATTTATTTGAGTATAATTTAAATATCGAACTTATATGATATGCCTTCTCCGAAAATACAAAGTTATATCGCAAAACAATGCATTTTGTGACATTTATTTTACACTCACGACATTTATTTGCTAACTCCAGTCGGCGATCCTATCGGCCAAGATTGACACAAGTTTGGTCGAGTGCCGGTGGTATTCAAGTCGACGATAAATCAAAATAAGTTTGTTATTTGGTAAGACAGTTAATCATATATGGCCGAAATATTGAGAGGAATTGTGAAAAACATCATGAGCAAGGCCAAGTCCGGACTGATATATAACGATAAAACCGTTAACAGAACATCAAGATTTTGTAATAGAAAATGGATCTCGCACAGAATAAACACACTGGCTCATATTTGATTATATATGATAGCAGTTAAATTTTTAGCGGTCCGCGAGGAATCCGTCGTTTTGCTGTTTCTCTGCCGTCTCAATCGCTTTACCGATGCCGAGAAGACGAAGTTGCGTTGGTTCATTACGCAATCTCTCTTTTGTCGTCATATTGCTATTTGATTAGCGCGACATTAATTATCACGGCGAGGTATTGGCGCGAGTGATCAATCGCTCTTTTCGCTTATTTGGTTCCAATTCGTCGCGAAAGCTCTTCGTTAAATTTCACAAGATCGTCGTGTTAAAAGGTTATGGATATTTTCCTGTTTATACCCCAAGTCTGAAATAAAACAGCCAAAAACAGTATGATATTCCATGTTCATATATCAAGTGTTGATATTAACGATAAAGAATGGTTAAGCATTGCTAATCCACACTTGGTGGGGAATTCCCACTATTCAAACGCGTGACTATAAAATAGAATAAAATAGAAACGGAACATATATACCATAAGTAACAGAAAACTGGAACAAGTAAATGATAAATAAAAGTAAAATGGATACAAATGTTTGATAGACCATGTTTGAAAGATTGATCTCCTGCGTTCATTAGTCATTTCACCCGAAGAAGTTGAAACCGGGCGTGTTAGCGTCAGATTCAGATAATTTATTTTCGTCGTGCAAGAAACATTATGAACAACACAAGCATAGTAAATCAAGGAAAAAGAAAACAACAGACACATAATGTTTCGACTGCAATTAACGAGGAGCCGCGAAAGACTATCAAGTCATCGTGTCAGCGACACCATTAAAGCTGAATGACGTCAAAAAAACGTCAAATGATTAAGGTTGAGTTATATATGATCAGGGCAGTCAGGGCGTCCATCGGTCTTAACACAATTCTTCCCCCTATCTACGGTTATTATGTACATTGGCCATGGCCATGCTAGATAAGATGGGAGAGAAGTTGAAACCAGGTGTGTTGGCGTCAAACGGCCCTACTCAGTTCTTCCCCCTTAACTACGTTAATAATTTACATTGGCCATGCCGTTGATAATAGGTCAGTAAATGGCAAAGCGTCATGCCTTCCTTCACCTACGTAACAAGAGAGAGAAAAACGGCTGCGAATACCGGAACTCTAACTTCTTCTACTTGTTGAGCTTTCATTTTTCGCAATCGACGAAATTGACTGCTTTGAAGAAAGCTCGTTTCAATGCAATAATTACGACTTTACGTAATTCGTAACTTCCCTTCCGTAACTCCAAATAATTACGTAATTCCGTAAATCAGTAAATTACGTGCAAGCCTAGTTGTAGGTATAGATAGACGATGACGGCGCTTTTATTCAGCTATTTAAATCTACGTGTTAGGAACATTGAAGTCAACTCCAAGTATCTCACAAACCCCGAAATGGCCAAAAGAATGCAAATGAGTATTGAAAGGGCCAGGTTTGTGAGTGATATGAATTCAAAGTCAATCTTCATTTTACCAGAAGGCTGCTTAATGACAAGGTAATAACATTTGTGGTTTGTCAATTGCGCGAACAAATTATGGTACACCATTGTGATATTCACAACTGAAGAAGAAGGTGAATCGCAATAATGATACAGTGCTTATATGTGATCAAAGTTTTTTCGACGTCATCCTTCTGATAAAAACAGACAAATTATATTTGAAAGATTGCACTCGATTCTTGAATACTTCACGCGAATTTTAACTATCGTAGTTTTCCACTGCGATATTACTAGTACACGCCATAAACGGCGGATTATAAACGCTTAATAATTCGTAAAAACGACTATATTATGCATATAGTCTCTAACAGTATTGAGAACAGTAATTTTCCTGTGTTTTACCTCTTTCCAATTAATGTCCACGTCTATTTTCGGAATTCTGCATGACGTCTTTCCTGCAATTTGTCCTGCACAGATTGAAATTATATTCATCATGAAGAATGTGCTAGTTTTCGAATTCAAGCAGAACAACGCCATATTTATAGAATACAACAGGTACACTATAAAGTAACACTATAAAGATATAAGACTGAACTTGTTGTCAACCCAAATGAACTTATCTTCCAAAATATTGCAGTCGTATACACTACGAATTACAACTAATAACTGTGCAAAAAACTTCAGTATTGCTCCCCATATACAAAGAGAAAAATGTTTGTTATGCTAACTTATTGATATTATCACACGTTTCGGAAATAACGCAATTCAGTATCAAATCATTCACTAGAGCTAAATGTCATATCCCGCTGTCATCAAAGTAATCAAAACATTTACATCATATCTCACTTATATTTATCAATTCATGCGAGCTAAAACAAAAGTGTAGTATAGAGACACTTTACCAAGCTTATTTCTATGCTTCAACTTCTGTAATTAAATCTGTTCTATACACTTCTATAAGATGGTTTGACTATATATGTAGGGATTTGTTCAGAAAGAATTGTTTTAAAACAAAAGTTTTAAATCGAGTTTTTTTGCCTGTTTTGTTCAAAATGGCTGTACTACTTGATTTTTTTGTATTAAATGGGTTGAAGAAATATGGATGTAAAAACTTGCCAAGCGCTTCTTATTTGCAATAAATCTTTCAAAACGCCACAAATATCGATAGAGGCTCATGCACACCTTCTCAAGCTGTAGTGTAGTGGTTGGCGCAGTAAGACGCAACCGATAAGCCCTTACGTGAACGACCCTGCTGCGATGAAACCACGTTGCGAAAATTTAAATGCGATCGAATAATTGAGTTCGCATAACCTTGAAAACTCACTTCAACCTTAAAAAACAAAGTATGCTAACCATAAAGTAACCGAACAGTATTAACCGTAACAATGACTTCATTTTATGAGAAAAATGTCAATACATGACCTCGAAATTCATATTATGACGTCATAACAGATTAGTTGTGGCGTCTTTGCATCGGAGGACTCTTACAAATAAAATAGGCTAGGTTAGGGTGTCTCATCGTTCATATCGGTAGATTATCGCCGATATATTCTTCATTATCGCAACCCACTCGTTTTGTCGAAGGGCACTTGATCGAATTGCTTTTGTTGTAGGCACGTGAGCTAATTTTCATGATTTTTCTCACTCAAAACGTCTCTCTGATATCTCGGCTAAACATTCTGGGTAAAATCTTATGACTTTGGTGGAGATATAAAGTGGCGATAAATGTACGCAATAGTGATAAAAGTCAAATTAAAAAAATTTAATTTTATTTTTGAAATTATAATTCCGGCTGCGTGTGCAGCCGCCAGAATGCAACGTTTTGGCGTTGTTTCGCGGCGATGCAAGGTTTTTTTTTTTAATAAAAAATACAGAAAATTTTTGATTTAAAAAAAGCCCTTGTTTTAAAACAAAACCCTATAAATATATGAGCCATTTTGGAGATTCTAGCTTGTGCATTGAACCAATCCTTATAGAACTCATCTGGCATCTCAATGATTACAAAACGCTCTCCTCAGCACCGAGCGTCTACTATTGAGACCTTTCTATCAGTGTTTCATTTGATTGGAGCAAACACGCTCGAATAATGTGTGAAAATATAAGTATTTCAATCGTTTTTCTATTTAATTCTTTTTGTAGCACTTACAGGCGACGTTAGATATAGATTAGAAAAATCAACGATTCCAGCCGAGTTTGAGCTGAAATGTAATGCAAGTTTTCCGTTTTTATCTGACTGAGATACTAATGCCATAGTTAAGAGAATGAATTTATCTTTATTTATATATATGATGACGATATGATAGCTCCAAGATAACAGTAATTCGTCAGTTATGAGATATATATATATTTTATATTTTCACCAGCTTTACGTGGCTATGAGTTTGAAAGCATACCATTGGCGATGGCAGTTGATTGAACACAAAAGTAATTACATTTTGAAAGTGAATGTAGCTTAATTTGTGATCCATGACAATAACAAAAAATACAGCTTGTGCGACTTATAATCGTGTTTGGTCGATAACGATACCTCGTTTCCATGGTAACAGGCATTCCGTTATCAAGGGAAATTGTCAAAATGCACTTCTGATCATATTCTTCACTTCTTATATACATATCGGTTTACTTATCTTGAAAATATCCTTTCCTAAAGTAATGTTTATTTCCCTTCAATAGCAATACAGATGATGCCTCGTTTCCATGGCAACGAGGTATTTTCTTGGATGGCACCATATCCAAAATTGATCAGGGGATGCTACTGTACATGTGTGCCAAGTTTCATGCTTGCATCCAAAAGTGCACAATTCCATCATATTTGAGGTCTTATCCGCTGGACTACATTTACATGAAATAAAACTTATTTTTGTTGTATATTTTTCGTCTGACAAGTTTTACCCAGATAAGGTGGCACCAAATATTGGGACTTACATCCCTCGTGAAATGAATGACAAAATACAACGGATAAAATTCATACGATTGAATTTCACGTGCAATTTACTCATCACATTGGGTTTTCCATTCATACGTCTTCCATCGAATACAGCCTTGAAATATGACCAAAGCTTCGATAAGACTGTGATTCGCAGCCCAGATTTTAAACGAGAATTTTACTCGGAAGTTACCTGAATTTATTTATCAAATATTGTTTATTTACAAACTAAAAATTGAAGAACCCGAAAAACATTATAATGTATTTTTCCGTGTTGTCTCGAGGCCTTTCATTACACATGCTCATGTCGGAACGCATATACGTGAAGACCTCTCTTTTATAATACATACTCATTCGGAATATAAGAATGCCTTGATCTTAATTTTGATTGTCAGCATCATTCTCCTACAAGCTGTCGTTAAGTGGTAGAATTATGTAATGAAATATTTATTCCATGCTCGGTTTCATTGCCTTACCCATACGTGGGTTCATCACAACATTGTCGCTATATCGATAATATGTTTTAGAGCACAGGAAGCAGGATTTGCGTTCTTTTAACGAGCTCCATATTGCCAGCTGTAATTTCAATTTGAGAAAGATAAATAACAGAGAAAACGTCAAGTTGAATTACAAATATTAGTTCAGATATTAAGAAAGAAGTACTAATAAAAAATGTTCACATCAAGGGCAAAATGAATAAATGGTAAAATAATAACAGAGAAAAACTTCATGAGACAATGAATGACTGGGGTGTATATAGAAGAACCATGACTGCACGTGATAAATGAGATTAAACAATGAGACAACTCTAAATGTATAAGTGATGGTATAAAACCTATTGAAAATCAATTGCGAGCTTTCTGAAATAATCTGCTTTGGGTTATACCAAGCTTCCAAATATCGTGTACGATCATTTTTCCTTGTTTCTGCCTTTATGTGCAGGGCAAAGACTTTCCTAAAACTTCAGCGTGGGAAAAATTTCAGAACCTATATATATTCTAGATTTGTGATCAGTTTTGCTTCTTTACGGATTACCTTTGTAATATATTATTGATGTGATTCATTTCACACCAAAATGCGAAACAACAGACTTCATTGGTCACAGTTTAGAAACTTACTAAAACTAACTTTGCGTCATTGGTTATGTTATATTGATATTTTAAGGTCCTGTTTGGTCATCGACAAATAAAATGAATTTTTGATCTCATTTTCAATTTGAACGCAGATGAAACAAGATAATATTCTACCATTCTCCTGGGTGATACAAAAACTATTTCATTCATGTATTGTCTGTGTTTTAGTATTTAGTTTATGCAGCTTTAATTCATAAAATCTTCCATATGGATTACATAAAACATGTTAAAATGTCAGATTTTTGAATGAATTTGTCACACATCTTATATTTAGGTTAAAACTAAAGAAGCCTAAATGGCATTGCATTTCAGTAATAATAATCAGATTATTTTTTAAAAAGCTGTTCATTTTCTCGTCCGTCTCGACGTCCCGCACGAACAGTGGACCAGTGCTTCCCAGTTGGCCGCCTGTGTTTAGAAAAAGCCACGCCACGATTTCAAAAACTCAATGGTGGCAAATAACGTAAGCGCAGTTTTCTCATCTCAAAGGTATTCATGGTAAAATAAATGTATTGTAATGTAAAAAAGATTGTTTTTATCAGTAAATAATTTTGTGGCTATTGAAGCATCACATGCCGTTGAGTACTTAAGCATATCCTTGGGTTATTTTTGTTTTTGAAAAATTGGTTGCTTTAAAAAAAAATTGGGATACACTGTCTACTCTAAAGTAAAGATAATATCTGAAGAATGCAAGGCCTGTCCGCCTGTTTAGAATTAGATAGTGAGGTCTGTCAGCCTGTTTGTCGCCAGTTAGGAAACAAAAGTTACAGCTCAGCGTCGCCGAAATACAACCGAGATCGTCATGGCGACCAATTCAGTCACAATCCCCAGGGGCGTAGCGAGTAATTTTTAACAGGGGGGAGGGGGTCTAAAATTTGTAATTGCCAATTTTGACTGCAACAGGAGGTCTGGCCGGAGGCAGCAAAACGCGAGTTTCTAAGAGAACAGATGTTCTACTATGTGTGATACAAAATGTTTTTAGAAATCGAAACTGAAATGTCAGGATTCGCCAGGAACAAGGGCTTCAACTAAAAATCGCGGACTAAACAGATGTTTCCCCGAGCATCGACTTCCTTGTTTACTTCGTGACATTGGCCAATCAGCAAGATGAAAAAATTTACGTAATTTTGCATCCGCTGAGACACTTTTCTCGCTCAGACAGATTTTCAGGCGTCCTCGTAAACATTACCTCCGCTTCCGCGTTTTTAAAATCTATTTGTTAGTTTTTGGGTGTGTTTCGGATATTTAAATATATATCAAATCATTCAATGATTTCGACCCGCAACTCCCCCAAAGGCTACGCCCCTGCCTGTCCCACGAAATATTGCATGGTTTCGCTACACGCAAGGCTGTTAAGATGAAGTCACTTTAATCGTGATTTCGTACTCGGTTAAAAAGTAATAAAATATTAGGACGAATTCATTTTTTATACGTAATCTTAAGTTCATGTTATGATTTTGTCGACTTAAATCACTTGCAATAACAATCTTCGATCTTGCTAAAGCATCCCTGCATCGTAGGCGTGGGGATCCTTCGGCACAAAACCATAAGAGAATAGTATGTAGTTAGTCCCCCAAAAAGCAATCAATAGCAGGCATATAAGTCAATCTGATGTAACTATCCGTATCGATGTGGTATACCAACGAATTTTGGAGCAATGTAACACAGTTAAAGCATTTTCAGGTATAAAATTGGTCGTTGATTTCAAAGCAAGCTAAACGTTAAAAGTCGCGATTGATCTACCCAAAGTTTTAACTAAAACACAGATAATATCCATATATATATATATATAATAGCTACATTAGAATGCAGTACTTCAAAGATAAATGTATTGGCTTCAATATAATGGTATAAGTTTCATAATCGCTAATATGGAGCGCACAATATAATTTTCGTGCTCCGCGTATAACCATATTCCGATATCAGTTTGGTCCAATTATTTATTTGCATCAACTTGTTGGCAAGGATACATGTCTGCATTTATTCCATATTTATCTAAAGCCCGTTGAAATTCATTAATTTGATGTTGAGTAGGCGTGGATGTAGAAAATTGCGTCCACACGATCCATTTATCTGGAAAAAGATGAGCGATGGTCAAATATATGGACACGAGAGGCCAAATCGAAATAGTACGGTCGCAAGCTATTGCAGTAGACTACTGCAATCTTTACGACGAACGCGAACACAAAGGTTCGCAATTATTGATGAAGTTATGGCACACAAAAAACGAATCTCATAGAGCCCACAGAAATTTAGGAGTAAACAACCTTCTAGCGAAAAATACAATCTTTAAGTAAGTCACGGCGATTAGGTATCAGTCGATGGGTAAAAAGTAAGTCGATGGTGAATAAGTAAGTCATTGACGCATATGTATGTCATTGGCAATAAAGAAAGTCAGCAGCAATCAAGGAAGGCAGATCAGTCGACGATTAAGTGAATCAGTGGCCATTAAGGAAGTCAATGACATTTAAGTAAGTCAGTGGTGATTAGGTAAGTCGGCTGCGATTAAGTTAACCACTGGACAATTCAAGGCAATTGGTCCAGTAATTAATGAGAATTTTTTTTCATAACAACAACAAGAAAAATATCAACAAGAACAACAACAACATACTAACAAAAACGATCCACTGATAGACTGCACTGATTAAACATCGATTGAACTCATTATCCCCGGAGTTTCATATTATTTGCCTTTCGACGAGTTTGGCTATATGTTAGAATGTCAAATTAGCTATACATGACAGGAACAAGGCACGTGATGCACCGAATTTTCGAACTTTAGTATACTTAATCCCCAATAAAAAACAGGTTATCTATATATAACGAGTAGTCTTTCTATTTTTGTACCAATGTAAATATATCGGAATCCCCTGAAAGATGTCTAAAATCAGGACAATGATTCAAATATAAATTTCTTGTCATACATACCAAAAACACACCATGCATAAATCAAGTAGTTTTTTCCGTCACTCAGAGGAATGGTAGGAGAATCCAACCTGGCCTTGTCTACAGGAAGAAGTAAATTTATTATTTCGAAGTCGAACACATCTATTTTAAATAGCTCGGCCTTGCATTAAGTAGGCATATACGATGTAACTGATACAGTATAAAACAACATTATTCGGTAAAATTGTAGTAGTGTAGAAGATTTCAGTTTTTATTAACTTTTTTGGACGTTTATTGCCGACAATATGACATCTGATTTAGCGAATACTAAATAAATTATGTTTCTTGTTGTTTGAATTGATCACGAGACAACAAATTTTATACAAATAGACGTTAATGGGAATATTATTATTTTTGAAAGAACTGGGATCTATCCTGTTCAGCATTGTCTACCCCAGGACTCTTCAAACATGGCTTCCCGACCCCCGGGAGTCGCGATAGGACTTAATGGGGGTCACGTACTATCCTATTCGACATCTAACTTATGTTGAAACAAAATATTCATCAATTTTGGAACCAGAACCGAGACCCACTATAACCGAAATAGAAAAATTGTGCGAAAATATGCAAGCACATTGTTCTTGTTGTAATAATAAATTTTACTCTAGTTTTATTTTACTTCCTGAAGATCGCAAAAAAGTGGTTGTGCCAAGTGGATCGAGGTGAAAAATGTTTGAAGAACACTGGCCTACCCAATTTATTACCCTTAGGCAAGATGGGTTGGTGGCTTGACCCCTTGAGATATGTATTGAAAATGAATTTACCAAATCTGGCAGCATTTTCGTTGGTTTTTCCATCAGGATACTGAGATTCGGCTTCGATTATCGCTGCATCTTAAAATCAATTCAAAATTACAATACAAAGTGAAGTCAGGAATTTCAATTGCATATTTGAGTAATCGAATTTGTGATGAATTGATCTCTTCCCGAGTGCATAATATAACCAAATCAAGAAGAAATTATTGATGTTACAATTGGAATCGGTACTCTAAAGCCTGTTTTAATGCTCACGAGTCTGTATTTATGAATATTATAAAGGAAGTAGTTCTTCTCAACTTCCCACCAGGAATTGAGGTTACCCAAAAATAGCCCTTGGTCCGACTTATACAAGTATCATCAAAATTGGTTCATCAAGCGTTTGAGACAGGGGTACGCAACCCTTTGTCGCTCGCGGGCTGAAATTCAGGGTTGGAAGTCTTGGCGGGCCGCACATATTTTTGGAAATTTAAAAACCGAACGGATAAACGGTGCATCACAATTTTTTCACACAGATCAGAAGTTAAAAATTTAAGGAGCGCGCGAAGACTGTGACAACTCGTGAACTCAACTCAGTCTAATTTACACATGGCATTTAATGTGACACTTCTTGTTGCATCACACTCGATACGTTTTCGACATCAGATGGCACACTGGATGAAGCCACGATCTAAAGAAATTTTAAATGGGAATCAGTAATCCATGTTCTCAGCTTGTTCTTTGTAATGTTCATTATCGAAAATAATTGTTCGCACGCCTATGTACTTCCTAACATCGATGTGAATTTTTTCGCATGATTTGTCACATTTGGGTAAAGTTTGATAAAATCAGCAGTGATACATCTCTCTAATAGAATGTAGATTTATTTCCTCATTGCATTGCATCTCATAAAATTTCCATTTGAATATTTTTTGCGCCATTAACCCTTTGCACTTAGCATCAACTTTTCTGCGTTTTGTTGCCATTTGTCTAATTATCATTATATTATAGGCCGGAATATTTTCCTCCGCGGGCCGGACCTGAACCGTGGGCCGTAGGTTGCCGACCCATGGTTCATGTGCTTCGGGTAGTAATTTAAGAAGACCATGTGGCGACTTATGTTTAGAGCTGGGGTATGTTTATTGTATAATAATATTATCTCAGTTGGATAACGGTACTCACCATCATTTTTATCGACTGTGTAAATACCGTTGTCTTGTCGAATGAAGTGAGCAGGAAAAACTATTGCAGGTGAACTAAATAAAATTTGTGAATGAATGGATAAAAATATGAACACACCTAATTTAGGTACTTTACCTTAAGCTCCTCTTACTCAACTAGAATGGATGTTTACGGGCGCATAAAGGTAATTTAATGGAATATGGATTTAATTTGAAACGCCGGGGTATATTTAGCTGCCGTTGTCGGTTTTATCTGTGAGCGGTTCCAATTTATATATATATTTATCCGGAAGTATTGCAAAAAAAACCTAGAGTATTTTGGAGATACGATACAGTTCACAACTCTGGTAAAATATCATACAGTAATTATACAGCAATATTATACAGCAAAGAAATACAAATGATTCCAATAAAAGAGAAATTTAGGAAATTATTACTTCTGATGATATTCTGTGATCATCATAGAGCCGCCGTATGATGTCGATGTAACATTTTCACTTTTGCAGCAATAAACAATATCTTTTGACATCACAACATCGTTTGTGTGTAAACCCAAATACCATGTCCTTGACATCTAAAGTAAAACGAATAAATATGTATCACATATTTTACATGTGTTGTAATTAGACGACGAGGGCGCTTTTCTATTCGGTACTCATATTTACGTGTTAGTACAGGGTGGTCCAGGATTGTGAGGTTGGAGGGCTGCAAAAACTTTTGAAAAGGTCTCGCGGGCCGCAGTCGGAGAAAACCGAAAAACGATAAAAAAAATCGCCAGTTTATTTACGTTAAATATATTGAAGAATGAGAGCTTACTGTTCTAATCAGCCTATTGTTTTGTTGCATGGGTGACGTTGTTTTTTAATTTCCAGGAAGATATATGAAGCTTCTAAATATTAAAATTGCTTTCCGAGAAGTACCGTGGTATTTCTGTACCTTTGTTTGTGTTTGGTTTTGTAATGTCGTTTCAAAATATATTCTTTCATGACAGATATCACTTGAAAGCACACCCGACACTGTGGTTTACTGTTGTTGTGGGCAAGGAAATGCGTTTCCTCCTAGTTTTCCTCTGTCCCCTTTGTTTCAAGACTCATTTTATGATAAATTGTTATATTTGACTAATTTTATAAATTGCAGCGTGAGCAGGCCTAGTGCTATCGTCAAAGAACAACCAAGTCAGTCTAAGTTGGGATTTCGGGACCTAGCTAAAAAAAAAACTGGATTGCGCGGCGCCAAGTCAGATCAGCGTTTCTTCAGTGCTGTCACATTGTCCACAATTGAAAATAAAGGATTGTTTTTACTAAAATAAAGGCACAAAACATTTTTTTAAATAAGGAGTTGCTTGATGCGAGCTCAAGGTGGGTGGTTGGGATGAAAATCCCGATCGATCGAAGCCCTTGCACCGATCACAAGACGTCATTCCCATATTGACACCGTCTCGACGTTTAAGACAACAATGAAATTCTGTGATTTTAATAAACATCATTCTCGACATCGGGATTAGGAGAGGGGTTCAAATCTCGGGATCCCAACCTAGGTAGGAATACCTAAATAAAAACTCCAAAATGTTCTGCCAATAAAAACAAATGTCGGCCAATGGAAAAAATATCAAGTTGAGTCATATGAAGGGGAGTATTGAAAGGGTCAGGTTCGTGAGTGATATGAATTTAAGTCAGACTTCCTTTCACTTTATTTACCAGAAGGCTGCTTTAAGGTTTTAACATTTGCTGCTTGTTAATAGCGCGCACAAGTTATGGTACATCATATTTCAAATACATCATATGGTGATCAAAGTTTCTTCAACGTCATCCTTATGATAATTACATAAGGAAACAGACAATTTATATTTGAAAGATTCCATTCGAATCTTGAATACTTCACGCGAGTTTTAACCACCGTAGTTTTCCAATAAAATATTACTTATTTCTGTATATATAGTCTTTAACACTGGCTTTCTAGTTTTTCACCTCTTTCCAATTGATGTCCTCATTTATTTTCGGAATTCTGCATGACTCCTTTCCTGCAATTTGTCTTGCACAAATTGAAACTACAACCATCATGAAGAAGGTGCTGGTTTTCGAATTCCACCAAAACAACGCCATAGGCCTATTTATAGGATACAACAGATATATATATTGAAATGCTTTTATTCTATGAAGTGGATATATATGACTGAATTCGTTGCTCTACTGTCTACTTGAACGGGGAACTAATCCCCGAAAATATTGCAGTCGTACACTCTACGAAGTATATTTAACAACTGGGCCTGAAGCGTATATATTACTCCCCATATACAAAAAAAAATGTTTATACGTATGATCTCATCACACGTTTCAGAAATAAAATAATACAGTATCAGATCATTCACACGAAGCTAAATGTCATATCCCGCTGTCATCAAAGTAATCAAAGCATTCATATCATATCTCAGACTTCAATTCATGCAAGCAAATATAAAGTATACTATCGACACACTTTACCAAGCTTATTTCTAGGCTTAAGTTCTATACTTGACTCTGTTCTATAAACTTCTATAAAGTGGATTGACGTTATATGAGCCACTAAAGAGATTCCAGCTCCTGCAATGAAATCATCCTTATAAAACTCCTCTGGCATCTCAATGATTACCAAGACACTCTCCCAAGCACCGAGCTTCCATTGAGACTCTTCTATCAGTGTTTCATTTGAATGGAGAAAACTTGCTTGAATAATGTGTAAAAATCATAACGCCATTAGAATGTTGACTAGACATATATTACTCGGATATACCCAATATAAGGTATTGAAAGTAAATATCATAAACGCGTCCAGTAATAACAATTCTGCCACGTCACATATAAATGGTACTAAATTCAAGTAAATTGTATATATATATGGTATCACAGCGTGAAAATGTGGCAGCATCTATTCTGCTCAAGTAAAGCCACGCCACGATTTCAAAAACTCAACGATGGCAAATAACTTAAGTGCAGTTTTTGCACTTTAAAGTTATTCATGGTAACATAAATGTATTGTAATTTAAAAATTATTGTTTTTACTAGTAATATAATTTTGTGGCCATTGAAGTATCAAATGCCGTTTAGTACCTGAGCATACCCTTAGGTTATTTTTCCTTTTTTTAATTTTGTTTGCTTAACTTAAAATACAGTTTGGGAACCACTGTCTAAACTGAAGATAACATCTAATTATATAAGGTGAACTCGCCCACACGTTTGTGCTTATCACGGAGAAGCGAATTTTATTGAATTGTAACCTAGCAAATTTGTATGTACAAATTGTATGTATTAGGCGGAAGATAACTGGTAAAATTAAGAAATAGAATTAGGTTTTTATATTTCCTGATATTTAAATTACGCAATTTTAGGATGACGTCAAACTTATGCGAAGCAGAAGTTAAAAGTTACGTGTTTTTTCGATGCTCAGTCATGCGTAATACTATATGAAAAAGATACTGTAGTAATGAATATAAAAATATCCGCTGGTTTGTAAACACACGATCAAAATGATAGAATAATCTTGAGTCAGTGGATACGTCGTATGTGTACAATCGTGATATGGTACAGTTTAACATTTCGTAAATGTGAATAAAATCGTTTGATTTCAAATGACTACATTTGGCTTACCTACATGTATATATATAAGAAGGTAAAGTTGAACAAGTTAGGGTATCAAATATGACTGCTAAGGAGGATTGAGGAAAGGTATTGATCTTGTGTTATATATACATTATTTATTACTAGTCAATGTGAACGGGTAGTATATCTATTATTATTAGGTGAATTGAATGAATCTATAGATTATAATAAGATAATTTAAATGTATGAAAGTCACGGAATATCTATTACTTGTTTTATTTGCGAGTGTAAAAGCAACTCAGTTTGTCCTTCTGGTGTAACTATCAAACTCAACTTTTGTGATGGGGTGATTCAACTGTATTAGCATGTACCATCCATATAATTCGACAATTAAAATTAATGGCGCTCCATAAGTATGTGTACCAATATGGAGGTAACTAATTTTGTTTGCTTACTTTACATCCAGTTGTAAAGGCACGGGAGCCTATGGGCATGGGGTAAATTCACTTGGTTGACACAGATAGTCTCCGAACTCGTAATAGAACTAAAATAGGAATGAATTTATGGCCTCACCTGGTACACATACTACGTGAGTATCAAATTAATAACTACACAAACTTTCTTTGGCTTTATCGATAGATGAATATATTAGGCCATAAAAAGAAGTTTTGACGCGAATATTTGGTCGACTCAGGTCATTTTGATCCACCAGATAAAAATTTGAAAATTTCGTTGAAAGTTATGTACTTTGTATTGTAGAGTGTAATGTGTCGAAGCTTTCAATCTGCAATTGGCATTTTCCAGAAAATTAGTTTTTTTTTTATTTGTGTATCATGATATATATACAGGCACGAATGATGGTGTCATGTATTCAAAAATCAAAAATAAGGCAAATTAGGATTATATTTGACTGTCTTGATTGGTAAAAATAGACCGTTCAATTTATTATTAGAACAAAAACCACTGAACTGTGATGTTGGTTGATCTTGTTTGCTTCGACAGGTGTGTGATCCAAATTACTAATAATAACACGACCTACTTCAAAATCATTTTGTAACGCAAGAAGCCGCAAATTTACTTCTAAAATATCTTTGAAACCCCCCGATAATAAATGGATCATGACTTAATAAATTTAGATACAAAATAAAATAATAAATACAGCAACCGGATTTCCGTTTCGCGTTTCATTATTGGTTTCAATTTCGCCCATTCTATGCCAAATCGTGACTTATATATATATATATATATATATATACTTCAACTAATTTGCAGCCAATATCGATCGAAATTGCTCACGGCTGTAGAAATGAACTGCAGTTTGCGTTGTAAGATTGTATAGCCGGTAGCCGCACTGTTTTTGAGGTTTTTTTAAATTCCGTGCAAGATTTTCAGAATTTACTTGATTTAAATATAGTGTAAAATTCTTATTAATCATGAATTTACTTTATAGCTTGGCCTTTGGTTATATTATTTCTGTAATTTGATATATATATGCGTGATTTGAAAGGTCCAAAAATTAAGAAATGCAACTTGAGTTGTAAATATATTATTATGAATAGGTAAGGATTATTTTACCTTGTTTGGTATCATTAAACAGTGGAGAATACATAATCAATGTTAGGTATGATTATTATTACAAAGCGATTTATAAAATGAAAATTTAAATGCGCCGACTAGTTTTACACGGAAATAGTCCAATAGTGAATTTTAACATTGCAAAATTCGGCAAGTTGGAGCACCTTGCTCGTGGATATATAAGAATTCGACAATTTCAATTTTTAGGGGTTGGGATTAGTATACAACTTAAAGCAAATGGCATAGGGAAGCATAGAAAGTAGGCTTCTGGCCGATGTCATTGTTAAAAGCATCCGTACATTCGCAGTTACACGTTTAGATTGTTCTTTCAACTTAACCGCGATTTCCATTGAAAGATCGACATCACCTTCACATTTTAAATAATATTAGACATGTTGGTGCCATGCATGTTTGGTCATTAGCTCTCAACAGCAATAATAATTTTAAATACTATAACTCATTCAGGCATGTATCAACGTCCATAGCCAGCAGCGAAAAAGAATGGTTTCAAATACGTCATTGCTTTGTCCAGGCGTACTTCAAATATCCGCTGTACAAGTATCTGATTCCAAACGAAGTTAAACGGAAAGAATTTCTCACGAATTACATAGAAGCTAACTATGACGTGGCCGTTCGTCACGGAAATTCACTGTTGCTTTGCATACGCATGGTTAACGAAGAAGATGATAGTTGTCAGTTGAAGGTATATATATATTTATAAGTTTTTTAATGAATTTATTCTTTGGGTAAGTTCGTTATTACGTACCGGTGTTGTCGACTTAAATACAGTGGAAAATATTTAAATTTAATTAAAATAATGTTCGCTAATAGAAGCAATTCGTTTTTCTTAACAATGCCACCAACATCTATGACGTCATTAAATTTGATATATATTTGTTATAGAAATCGTTCGCTGATGATAAAAAAATAATTGGTGGAGCACTCTTCGTTCCTCCTACCACAGATGGTGGAGACTGGGATTGCGCTGATGACGACACATTTTTCAAATCCTACGAAAACTACGGACTGAATGATATTGACAACGATGCCTACCACAACATAATCAGGTACATTAATTAAAATCATTGACTAATTTAGTATCAATGTTCCAAATACTCATATATTTATATAAGAGCACTAAAAATCAAATTCCTATATTTTCAGCCATGAAAAATGGGAGACAGAGAATATTATGACAAAGATATGCAAGCTTAAATTTGAAGCATGGATGGCGTTTTTCTGGGCCATTGATCCCGAATTTGCTGGAAAGGGGTACGGTAGTGCCAGCTATCCAGATTGCATGCAAATTCTACAAAATTATCAAGAAAAACAACTACCTTCAGTCAGAAATTTAATGACACCGCGCAGAAGATGCCAGATGAACATGCCTTTAAGTGGAATCGAAAATTACGGAAAAACAAGCCAAATAATTTCTACTGTGTCAACGACTCAATCTTTTCCATTGCCCCTACCTGACTTTATGCAAGCAGGTGACAAAACGATATGTCAATGGTCACGAACTTACAAAGATCCGGTTGTATTTTTTCCAAGTCACTGTGAACGAGCTGTGAAATTTCACATGAAAAATGGATTTCATTTAATCGGAAAAACGCAAGTAAACAATAGGAAATTTCCGTTTGATGCAAGTGCCAAAACTGACCCACCATGGGCTAATTTACTGATAATCGGACTGTATGAAAAATCAACTTACGATCAGTACACATCGGGATACCACTGTAAACAAAAAAAATTCACTACACGGTTTCGGGACAGAATGGGGTACATCCAAGATGAAACTTTTCCCGCGCTATAAGTTTCTACGCAGTGTGCAATGATTTTAATCATAATTTTAGCAAATAACCATAGCAAAGCTATTAGTATATGCTGTATATAGTATTATGCAGATGGCAAGAAAGACATGCGACATGTTTCATTGACAAAACGTTAGTGTTCTGAGCAGTACCGTGAATCTAGTTTTTGCGCAAGAGTTGCTTGAAAGTACCCGAAGAAAACTAGCCACAATTTGCTAGTAGGATAGGACGTTAGAATATCAGTTAGCCTTCTTCAAGTCCAATGTAATCATTTGCACAAAAATATAGGAAACTTAATGAATGGTTTTCGACATGCGCATACTTTTTACAGAAATGTGTCACTTTCCATACTTATGATTGTTGGCCAAAATATACTGTACAAAGTACGTAATACCATCACTAATATATCAGATAAAGCATTTGCATTTTGTGACAATAACTTATCGATCGATTCAAGCCAATGTCTCGCAATGACACGTGCTTCGCCAGCACAGACTGCCGCGATGGCGCATTGGTTTCACCAACCAGAGGTCGAACAGAGGTTAAGGAGGCATTGTGACATAAATCAGTATTAAATTTGCCCTGTAAAATAAATATGATAAAAACCATGTATATTTGTTACTATGCCGATAGAGTCTTATCCCAGGAACATAGCTTGCCAAATTTTGCATATTCCACTGATACTTACCGTACGTTATCGGCATTCCAGTAGTTTTGATGTCGTACGCGGTATATTCCATCTCGTAAAACATTTCTATCTTCTGTATATTACACTTAGAGTTGAAACTTGTAAAAATTTGAAATTGAATATTTGAAAAAGTACAGATATATTGCAAAGTTATATATTTAAAATAAAAACAACCCACAATTGACGTGGTTACAATCTGCTATTTTTTTAAAAAATATATCACTTTTAAGCTGCGTAATTTCATGCGAGTTTGCTGAAGCTTAAAACTTTCAGTTCATCATCATCATAAATCAAATTCAAATCATCATAAAAAGCTATCATTTTCGCAAGTGTTTCGTGCCATTGTGTCTACATACAACAAAAAAGAAAGCCAAGAGTAAAATCATACAAGAAATAATCTATGAGCCTCCTGCCCTTCTCATTCCAACTGAGTATATCTGTCGGCTTGACATCACTAGAACAGTTGGTGCACTTCCTATAAGATAGCCTACTTTCCGCCACTGAGTACTGACTTCTGAGTATCCCAACTACTTTCTCATGCATACTCGCTGTCCCTCCTGCTTCTGTCGACAAACTTTGTATTGCAACTCTCCATAATGAGTGCTAATATGAATCTATTGACCGCAGCAACGGTAACATCGATTGCCAATGCCAAAACTAAAATAACGCCTTAATAAAAAGAGTAGCTAAATTATCGCTCAGGCTAAATCAGTGACGATGTGATTTGGAGTTGCAAATGGTTCGTCTGTGGAGGTGAGAACAATATTGGCGTGTAGCATAATAGAGATTTAACGTTGGAATTTTCAAATGGGTAACCGTCAGCTCATCAAACGCGAAAGTGACACTGAAGTTCGCCTTTTATCTTTTACTGTTCTCACATTAATAGTATTTCTTGACTTTGCTGGAATTGGATGATATATATTACTTCTTTCTTAGTATTGTTGTTCAAAAAAATGTGAAATATCGAATTGCTGATCGATGGATTTATTTTATTAAAAGGGTAAACAATAATTACATAATATTTTAGCGCATCCCTAACCCCTCTCTGCTATAACAAGATGGCCATTTTTGACAAACCCACTATGTTTGGACAACTACACATATAAAATCCTTCCCGATATGACAAGCCATTATTAAAATGATGGGTTATCCAAATGTATAAACTGTAATATATATGAGGTAAAAAATTGAATAGTTGTTAAACACTGTGTTCAGATAATTGTGTGCATTTGTTCCTGCTGTCAACGAAATGGAATAAGCATGGAAGATAAAAGTTATTTAGTGATTTTAAAAACACGTTATAATATCTTTTTAAAAATAATATACTTTTATATAATATAATATATATATATATATATATAATTTTCAGATTACTGTCAATTACGCTTGGCAAATTTGAACAAAACAAGCAATTCAGTGAAGAATAACCGTTATTTTCTTACGTTCTCTTCTATTCGAAACATTCAGTAAAACTTTCTTGAAGTTAGTGTTTCAAAATTATACCCAATGCATTAATTTGCACTATTCAATCTTGAACCTTCCATATTTCATGAAAATTAATATAATAGGTATCTTATTTTGTATTAGTGGAGTTTATGGTTTGCAGTTGATTGAAAAACAGATACTATGTTACGCTATGAGTTAGTTGTATTGTTCCGCTTAATAATGTAACAATATCTATACATTACTCACTGAATGTATTGTTCGAAACTAGGAATTAAAGACCATCCGATAATAAACTCCGTTCAGCGCAAACAATTGCTTTACAATAATAGGTATTATTTATTGAATCAATTCTGTCAAGTTTAATTGCATTTTAAATGGCTGAAAATTAATTTATCAATTACACGAATCTTGTCATCGATATAATACAATATAAAGAATTCTCATATATATTTAGATTATTTGGATGCATCTATTGCTGGGAAGTGCACCCCGCTGTTTGTTCCAGATTTATTGAGCCATTGAACTTGATTATGAATGTGCAATTCAATGAGTCGTTATCGAATTCCACCAGAACAATTGATTACACTCAAGAAATGTTGAAAACTGCTTCGCAAATATTTTGGGATGTTGTAGTGATCACCCTGTATCTAATGGTTGTGTTTTATATTTTTGTGATGTTGACTATTGAAAGAAAGGCAAATGGACAACGAAGTAACAGAAACAACAGACCAACAACTGCCCAGAAGATTGGAAAATTATTACGAATAAATCGTTACACTACAACCATAATCTTCATAATCCAATCATTTATATGTCTAGCCGAAAGACTTGTTTTTGAGCTTTACTTTCCGAATCTTTGCTTTTTAGTCAAATGGGCCAAGGTTTCGCTGAGTAACATGATAATGATGTGTTCCTACACGGCGTTGTGGCTCAGACAACGATCTATCTACGCAAATCAAGCATTGAATCATCTGACAAACAGGGTCACTCGGTTTATCAGTGCAATGATATTCTTTCTTATTGTTCTTTCTGCAATCGGGAACATGGTAGCATATATTGGAAATTACCGAATCGCTATGACAGCAAGTGGATGTTCAATTGTTGGAGCAAGATTGTCGGCAAAATTAAGCTGGATAGTAATTGGCGCGACGACACTTTTCATGCAGATATCGCTATTGTGGCTTTTCTTGCAACCAATTTGCAAACACCGAGGAAACGTAGGCGACACCGCGAGCAGTTACAATCCTGTTTTTAAACGAGCCTTCGCCACGAGCTTTGTTTGTGTATTGACAGATACAATTGCATTAAGTTTATCCGCTTCTTCTGTTATCAATGACGCATTAACGATCACGCGATCATTGCAGTTCAGTTTGTTTATCAATGTGCTTATGGTTATTGCTTCTTTCCCAGATTGGAAAAAGACCATGTTTCCATACTGCTCAGCTTCCAACTCCGAGGCAAAGACTGAAACGGACAATGCCTAATCCTAGTAAATCTACATTGTTAGTTATCACTCATGAAAGGGTTATTCGTAAATGTGTTTTTCAATAAACAATATGAATCGTGATGAATGCTACACTCCGGATCAAAGAATATAATGCGAAACATGTGATTTTTATTCTTAAAGTTTTCGATCTTGTCATTAACAAAATTTTGAAATCGATGACAGAAAAATAAAATGTGCATTTGATGGTTTAATGCAATATTTAATGAAATATATATGTATAAAAATGTTTTGCCGTGGTGTGAATATATTAAAAACTATAATTGTATATTTCGTAATTGTATTTATCATAAATTACTTGTAATTCAGCAAAAATTTGACATGCGTCAAAGGAACACATTTAGTGCTTTTTCATTTTTCGTCGCAGCTGAATTTTGTTGATGTCTCGTATACCTTTTATTCAGCTTTCATTGGCGTATTGAATCTAAAATGGTTAACATACGCTACAAAGCACATTTACGGTTATTGCAGAAGAAGTAGTACATTGGACCAGTTCATGCAAAGTTTAGGTCTTGTATATTTGCGTGCTTCGTCGATGTCGTAATCACAGAAAGATGTTGAGACATCGACAATCGAGGGTGCAATTTTTTTTGCGAATTTAATGAGACTTCAATTACTCGGTTGTTTCAGTGGCGTGATTCCGGCCTTGTCTAAGATGAGATCAGCTAAGCGAATGCTACTCAGGGGCAACTATGGCAAATTTATTCATCGTCTGTCATATTCTAAAATTCTTACAACTTCTTAGACTTTTCAAAAGTTTTTAGATAAGAAATGTTCATGTTGAAAATTAACTTTTCGTCCAATGTATATTTTGACGATCGGTGTTGTTACGACCCATTCATCATTAAGTGCTAATGAGGCGCATCTCAACTCGAAACTATAGTTAATGGTGTATAGTAATTTAAAAGTAATAAATAGGCAAAAAAGGCCTTCGGTGCTACAGTATGTAGAGCATTGTGGGGAATTCCCGAAGCATGGTAAACGGGTCGGAAGTGCTTAAAAATATCAATCCCTCTGGTATTCTCAATCACACAATTTGACGTTTAATTTGTTATCGAATGCGGGGAAATTACCTTAACAAATTGGACCTTGCTACTCGAAATACATCACTCAATCTGACCAAACAAAACTACAAAAATGCAAATTTATACTCTTGTGACAAATTCTCTAGTCTAAAAAGGACCTAAAATTTGTTTGTATATGCCAATTTTATGTGCGATGGTGGTGGCATCCTCAAACCCCGAAAGATAAAAAATCATACGGAGGACAGCAAAAGCTCTACCAACATAGCCAGTTGGTTGATTAATTTCTTGCATGCACAAAAGATTTTCAAGAAACTATTCAAGTTGAAATAGTTTTTGGTGAGCGTTACCATAGAAAATAGTTCGCATCAAATCAAATTTATTGAAATACATTAAAATAAATTAAGCCAGCGTTGTATGTTTGCTTAATATCATCCATCAACTTATCAATAATAAACGCATTGTAATTGTCGTTCTAATAATATGGTGTTTTATTATCAGTTTTCACATCGAGGTATATCTCCGCAGACAGTCGCGTGCGCATGTTCGGAGATAAGAGTGCTAATGCGACCAAGGCCTGGTAACGCCCACACGTGCTGGATGTTTTGCTATCCTTCTATAATGTCGGAGAAATGAATTATTGTCATATTTTATATTTATGGAATAATTTATAAACCGCTAATTTAATTTAACCGAAATATAAAAATAAATATATACTTGTTAAATGATTGATTTTTCGAGGAACGTGTTCCATGCAACCGTTCCACCAAACCATATTTTTGTTACTTCTGCATTAACATTTGTATTATTTTTCACTTTTATCTACAACGATTCTTTTTATTCAACAAAATATCCATCATCTCCCGATATTTATTCCAAAGTATCTTACCTATTTTATTTTTCATTGAATGATGTATGGCGATGTCAATACCAAAGACACCATTGACTTCTAAATATCAACATACTGTTGTATCATTTTGATAAAGGGTTATTGTCGAGCGCAACTGTATGAAATTTGTGAAATGGGTGAAACTCTTTAATATCTTTATTAATTTGATTTCGTGATTTATAGAAGCGAGTTAATGGAGAAATAACGATTCTCGAATAACGAAAATTTCAGTCGTTTCAAAATTTCACTGTTGGTTAGTGAAACAAAATAAAAATAAATAAAAAAGCAGGGATTTGATTTCACAATGCTGGGTTATCATTTGACATTCTAATAGCCTTCTATTTTGCGGATAAATGCACGTATAAACTTGTACAGAAGACGATGAATCTTCAACCTATCAATATCAGAATTACCAATTAAAGTAGAATATACTGATGAGGTATATATATACAGTGTACACTATAGTGAGTATCCAATAACAGTTGATATGTATATAATTTTAAGCATAACAATTCAAAATTATATTAATATATATTATATATATTGACTTGGTTTCGTGCAATGGATGTAAACGGCTGATTACTTATACTTTTAGAGAATATCTAACTTCAAAGAATAATCCATAAATTCAGTTGTTATGTAGAAGCTATTTGATCGCATCAATGGTAATTAAATACAGGAAAAGATATTAATTTGCTTTAACTCGTATATTAATTCATCAAGAGCATGCGCAGTATAATTGTCGTTCTAATACGAAGGTATTTGGTTATCAAATCGAATACCAATACTTATCAATCCAAAAACACGCGTGTACATATTGAAAGATAAGCTGATGAGGCATTAGCATATTGCTCGTCCATTAGCCGTTTAGATGGACTCTAATGTGACCAAAATCTGATAACAACCACGCAAGCGCTATACGCAGTAAAGATGGTGTTCTAAACCTTATCCAGAGTCAATGAATAATATGTATAAATGATGATCACCTCGAACACATTCTCCATTGTGTTTATTTTACAGTACATTACTGAATCAAAAAGGTGAAAATGAAATATCCAGTAACTCCATCAAAAAGAACGTCAGTGTCAGTTGCTGATTTGACAGAAGAGAAGGTGTCATCTGATAGAGGGCGAACGCGAAGAAGACTTTCTCTAGAATTTCTTTTGGGCGGAAACAATTCAAGTACACCAGTTAGAAGTGGACCAACACAAAAACGTGTGAGGCGATCCGTTAGTGCCAGTAGACGTTTTTCATTGGGATGTTCCCTTGCTGATTTGGAAACAGCAACAGCTCAGGTATATAATTATGTGAAATGGCTTTTATTTTATATAAATATATATCAAAATTAAGTACTCGACAGTGATGTCAGTGAAGTTGTGAAATGGGTATTAACTTAATGCATAAATGAAGTTGTATTTAAAATAATTATTTGAAACTGAATGATAGCCAGTAATTTGTGTTCTATCTCATGAGTAAATTTTGTTTTGATTTCTTGTGACTTTGTGAGTAACATTTGCTTTAATTTTCAGGATTATTCACTGCCTGTAAGCGGTAGGTCAAATACACCACACACAAGAAGATGCCGTTCACGTTCAACAACATCTGATGCAGACTTAGATGTTACTCCGGTTTCATTCATGACAACTTCGTCTTTCGCCGACGTCAGCAATATCAGCATCGTTAATGGTAGTTATGTGCGAAGCTCTTCTGTTATTGGGGTCCACGGAGCTTGTTCGACTTCTAATCTAAAATGCGTACCAGCCATACAAAACAGATCAAGGTCAAGTCAGAAAACGAGACCTCATTCCAGAAATATCATCGGATCAATGAAAGCAGCAGCCGGTACGTTAGTTGGTCGTAGATCAGGATCTATGGCGATTATTCCAAATACGACATACGATAGCGATGCATATGAAACTGGTCATTCGTCTCTCAGTAAAACTCCGACAAAATATTCTCTGTTGCAACAAGAAGAAGACGATGATTCGTTTCTTCCAGCCGAACAACATCCAGATTTTCAGGACACTTCTCAGGATGTCAATCTCAAAAAAGGTAAAAGAAGAAAGTCGTCATTTTCAGCAAGAGGACTTCTCGGAATCGGAAGGAAATCAGCTGTAGAAATTCGTCCAAATTTTCAAGAACCAAACCCTTAGTAAGTAACCGTTAAAAAATTTCTTGTTTACATCTCCGGTTCAAAATCACTCTCATTAAATTCAAAGACACTAATTGGCCCCAGTTCGAAAGTAATGTTTATAACCAGACTCTGCGTAATTAAAAATTAGGATGCTATTATAGCCACGAAAAGTTGCATTTTGCGAACAATATAAGACAAAACGGGGTATTTGTTCGAGTCATACTGGCGACATGATTAATCACTTGTTATTGGCCAATAAATTTGTATGAATCACCTTGCCTCCAGACACGGCAAACATACCGCTAATTACTGCTAACAACCGTATGGAATCTCTCTGCGATATCATTGTTTGGCAAACTCAGCGGGTTGAAATTAGTATAGCGTTAACGTGATGGATTTCGTTGAAACGGGTTGAATGTTTGGCTTACTCGCGCGCTGCATAACAACATTGCACGAGTCGTGCGAAACTAATTTCACGGTGATTTTTTCGCTCCCCGACTTTTCTTTCTTTGTATATAAGCAAGCTGTTGCACCGAAGTGCCAATCAGTTCTCGTTGTGCAGTGAAGTAGTATTGAAAGTATCAGTGTATGAAAATGGCTTCTTTGATTTTGAATAGCTCTATAACATCTCAAAGAAACGTTAAGAAGAGACGGGCATCGGATATAAATATCAGGGAAATTTTGGGGGAAACTGCCAGAAGATTTTCTCGCAGAGAAAAGGAACCAAGAATTGCAGAAGATGTTTATGATATGCATGATTTACCAGATTTAAAGAAACTTCCAATGACGAAAAAGGCTCTAAGAAGGTATATTTAAGAAATTAAAATATTATTCATGTAAAATAATATGATCATTATATGTATAATTTATTCTTTACGATAACATCATTGATAACTAAATGATTGGTGTCGATAGTTAAGTTAATTAGTTTGGACGTCAACTGTCACTTGTTCTTACAATGTCATATTTTTTTAGCCCAACTACTGGAATTAGTACGTCACCATCACGATGCTTGGATGAACTTTTGAAACGAAAAGGTAAGAATATCTACATTAAATTTAATCATTAATTTAAATTAAATAATTACAAAGTATTTTGCATAGTGTTTGATAATCACAGACAATTGGCATTCTATTAAATGTTCCAGGTGTTATACACAAAACAGTTTTCCCATAGAGATTTTGTCATTTTAGCATCCGGATTAGAAAACTGTTCAATTGGGTCGTGCTGTTTAATTACAATCCTGTTAGCAGCTGTCTATCTATATTATGATCGATTCGTAATCCATTTATTATTTTTTCAGCTTGTATCCTCCGTTTCCGCGCATTTCTTCAATCAGAATTCAGTGAAGAAAACTTGGATTTTTGGATAGAATGTGAATCATACAGATATCAAAGGATACACAAACAACGCAAACTCGCTCCAAAAATATATAATAAATATGTTGCCATTCGTGCACCAAGAGAGGTGAATATTTTTAAAATCCTATTTATAGATATTTCATTTCAAATAGTAATATCATACAAACCATCGGAATGTTGCTTAGATCTAATTTCATGTAATCAAATTTTGTTTGTTTAATGATTTATGTTGTCCTGATGTTTACATTGTTCTGTATTGTTCATAAGGTTAACTTGGATGCGATGACCAGAAGAAAAACAAAGGCCGGCATTGAATGTCCAGACAGTACAACTTTTGAACTTGCACAAACAAAGATTTTCAAACTAATGGAGAGAGACTCATTCAAACGTTTCAGACAATCACTGAATAAAACCAGTGCAGTTTCGAAAAGTAATGTTCCAAAAACTATTGTAACTCCGTTGTCCTTTACCGAAAATGGTCAAAGAAAAGTATCAGTATAATGTGTATAATTTTTATTTCTTATTCGATCACCGTTTGTACAAAGCATTTCTCTCCATTTTTCTCTATAAATCTTTTTCAATACGAACTTTCCCTTTTTCCTATGCATGTCAGCATTGCCAAACTTTCTATTACCTTTCTAAAGTTAATAAATTATTACTTCAATCTGTAGATTATTTTATTGAGACTATAAATTTTCGACATAGTTCATGACTTTATACGTTTGTATGTTGAAGTTGTATCTTTTTATCAATCTTCAAGCCAATGGAAAATTTGCTTCAATCGAGGCCACACAGACTCGCTAGTAAGTCAAGGGCACTCACCTCTTGGCAAAGACACAACGCCGCCACTGAAATAAACAGTAGGGTCCATCAGAAAAGATTTGACAAAATTTTGGTATATTCTGGATCAAAGCCTTTCGCAAAAAGGACAAATTTGACTCAAAGCCAACGAATAAATATTTGCTATCGATTGGTTTTCAGGTAGGCGAACTACTGATACCGATCCGGATGCGTATAATAGAAGGATATTGCGAAAAGAGTTCCATATTGAAGAGTTGATAAAATCAATGAATTCCCAGTTAACTATGGAAAAATAGGATGGAAGCCTATAAATTAGTGCGGTAGCTCTCTGTTTCAAATTAATCATTTGAAGTCAAGTACAGTTTTTAATCACGTAAATAAATATTTGTTTGACCTATTGCACAAAAGCATACCAAAATTGCTTTTCCAAGCAAATAAATAATACAAAAGCTGGGATGTTTACAAATATGGCTTCATTGTAGTTGGAATCATAATCACGACCAAATGATTTGCCTCCGACACAATTTTTCGCGTCAAATCATCTATTTCAATATTCTCATCGTTTCGTTTTTCTAGTTTTAGAAACATTTGAGAATATGGCAGTCCGAAAACAATTAACCGGAAGTCTATTGTTAACTAGGAAAGATAGAAATTGCAAATGCACACCACGCCATTTAAATCTTATTTTGCTCAAATCTTATTCTGATAAAATTGACAGACTGTTTGGAGCACATGACTGCAATGGTATTTCAGACCATTACGTGGCGTAGTTGAGTTTAGTCCATTGAGAGCATCCGAAGAATGGAGTGAGAAATTGTGTATTTTGTAATCTTCTTGCTTCCCGGTTTTATCTATATCCTTGTAAGATACAAAAAAGAAGCCATTTTTCAATGTTTTACCACATATATATATATCTGAATGAGGTAAGGGAATCGAATGGTACATGCATACAAACATGGTAAAATAAAATAATCAAAAATGGCAAATTTTAAGATATATGTGCAGTAATTGATTGTCTTTATATGGTTATGCATGTATATTTTTTATGATTGGTGATTAATAATACTGTAACTGTACCGATTAACTGTGTTTCATATATTGAGAAATATCATTTTTATTAATAATATTTATGTATTAGAATATAGAATTTTAATCAAAAGTGGGGGTACCTTCTTGTTGCATTGAGTGACATAAGCTAGTGAAATCTCCACAACAACCCCACAAGAATTTACACAGAGTAATGGAAGTGTTTAATTTTGACAAATAACAACATTACTCATATTGATAACCCTGAAAGCGTGTGTAAAAACAAACATAGGAAGAAATCTATTGCGCGAACGACGCGCAAAATTTAAAATAAATCATCAGAGTGATTTCTTTCTCGTAAGCATTTATGGCAAGTGTTGGCCATCGAGAAAGCGCATGATCTCACTATTATCCCGGAAACATCTAGCTTTGCGAATACCATTTTGCGATAACACCCTTACGTGGTGGGGAGATGGTTGCGTAAATGTAGTTTTGCTACAACGAACGAATTTTTCTATAGATGGTTTCTAGTATGCTAAGTAAATACAGACTAATATTCTCGGATATAAAAACCCATATTCAATAACTTTGGTAAAGTTCAAAAGATTGCTTTGGCGTTTCCGTATTTCTAGAATAAACACCATTATATGGTGAGCTATTTATAACATTTAAATAAACGGTATTTTACAAATCCATCGTTCACTTGCGAAATTTATATTGACTTTTAGTGTACGGCTCTTTGTAGTTGTCAAACAGAACGAGCATTGAACTTCTGGTCGCAGTAATTTTAAAAAGGGCAAACTCTATTCAAAAATTACTGAAGTGATTCAGTTACCATAAAATGCTTAAAATTCGTGGCGCTCCAAAAGTATGTGTACCAATATGGGGGTAACTAATTTTGTTCGCCTATTTTACAGCAAGTTGTGTAAATGGAATGAAACCTATGGGCAGGTGGTATATTCACTTGGTTAACGCAGACAGTCCCCGAACTCGTAATAGAGTAAAATATATAAGGAGAATCGGAATAAAGTTACGGCCTAACCGTAACCCGGTACACACACTACGGGAGAACCAAAATTCATACAGTTTGCAATATATATAATACGGCGACCTGTGCAAAATGGCGTCGTACGTACAAGTTTGTATAAACTATCTGCAAAAACTTTAATTTAATGAATTCTGTCTTTAATTTTATCTTGAAATGTCACATCATTTTAGAGAATAACTTATAAATCGCCCAATGTAAAATTATCTTCAAATCGGTAAATATATGCCTGGTAAAACACCTCATTGATTTCGGTACAATTCTATCCGTAATTTATATCCGTATTTAAATTTTTAGATTTTTCAAAATGAATATTTGTCTGTTGTTGGTTTTGTGTTTTACGTTATGGGTGAATTCTTCAAGACTCTGATAGTTTATTTAACAACTCACATTCTCTTTCATCGGAGGTTTAAAAAACTTCAAATGAAGTTCGTTTCTCTTCTATTTGCTTGGCTAATGTGCACATTTACTTCATATGTCGTGCTTGTTGCACGTATCAATTTTAAACTTTTTCGAGCAAGGTCACTCCTCATACGAAATCAATAAATTAAACAACCTCATTGCCAATTGGCACGAAATGTACCTATTGATCGTTTTGTTGTTAATATTATTATGTTGTTGTTGTTCTTGTTGGTATTTTTTCTGTTATTTTTATGAAAAAATCGCTTGTCTATTTAACTATTGCTTTGAAAGTTTTAGTGCGTCGTGAAGACTGCGGTACCGATAGTCTACTCAACTGTGACAGTTTGCATACCCGTATAATTCTAGCGCCTTGACATGCAAATTAAAGACTACAACTATTTTAAAGAAAACTGTTTAGTAACAAGCACAACGCGTCATGTCACAATCAAGTTTTGCAATGAACCCGAATTAATACTGTTACACATGTCTTGTCTGGTATAACGGTCATTTCATCCCATTAGCTGAGTTTATACATCGTTTATGATTATTATTGTGATAGCCATGTGTCACTGGCGCCATACCCGTGCCAGGAAATGAAATCATTTCAATGTATTCAGTAGGGAGTCTTTGATGTTGAACGATTTAGCATAAAATTTGGGAATTTTTTCGGAGTGAACAATGTAGTCTACAATGCTCAATGACGCTCACATAACCTCATTATCTCAGCATGTAGTTTTTGCAGAAATGAAAGTTTATGATTGCCACTACTCTCGGCAATTGAAAGCAATGAAAATACTCGATCGTCTTGGGACCTAGCCCTATAGTAATGATTACGGTCATACTGCTACACACTAAGAGTATATTCGCCTGACAATCGTTTCCCCATCGGGTTTACAGAATAGCGCTAATTGACATTTTGAAGCGCCCGTTTTGTATGTCGGAATGATATGATCGACCATAAGGGGTTGTCATAAAGCAGGGGTCGGCAACCTTTTGTCGCTTGCGGGCCAAAATAATGGTTGCAAGTCATTGGCGGGCCGCACATATTTTTAGAAAGTTGAAAACCGAACGGATGATACCTTTTATAATAAAAATGCAGTGATATATCTCTCGAATAGAATATAGATTTATTTTCTCATTGCATTGTATTTTCGGCGCCAATGAACCCTTTGCACTTAGCATCAGTTTTTCTGCGTTTTATTACCATTCGTCTAAGTATAATTAAATTATCGGCTCATTAAACGAGTAATTGTGAAATTTATACTCGTTAGATTATAATATAATTTAGTCTACACGCGTCTCACAATGAATTGTGTAACGTGAAAAATATAATCGTCAAAACAGCTGTTTTGTTACTATAATTCAGTGAAGCGTCGCGGGCCGGATTATGTTACTTCGCGGGCCGTAGGTTGCCGGCCCCTGCCATAAAGGCTTAAAAAAGACATCACTCTGATAATTTGAATATTTATAAAATTTTGCGCATTTTTTTTAAGTTTTCATTTAACTACGTTTTCGCGTTTTTCAATATCGTTAATGTTGTTGTTTGTCCAAAATAAAACATACTTCAGTCACTCTGGGTAAATATTTGCGTGGTCGTTGCAGAGCTTTCTCTAACTCGGATGAGTAAAAATGGGTACGGAAGAATAACACGGACTACGAGAATTGAGAAAAAATAAGTCGAAAAATATTTGTAATATTGCATGACTTTGTCATCTCAAGTAAATTTTCCCCATTTCATGCAATCACGAAATTAACATTTAATTGCAAAGTGAAATTTAGGATGGCTCCGTTTGTTTATTTTCGAGCCCATTTTCTAATGCTTGCGTCTTTCATCCCACATAGTACTACGAAATAAATATACACCCCATCGGAAAATCTCCAGTTCTAGTTCTTTCAACTCAACATATTCCACTTCTTTTACGTAACCTACTTTGGAATACTTGTTTGAAACACCCAATGAAGTGAACTCGGCTTCATTCAGTTGATCTTCTCCATTATCATATTCTAATCTCGGCTCACATCAATAGGTCAACGAAAAAAATTCACGATGAAACAAATATATTTATTTGAAACATAAAGCTATGATAAGTGCAAATAAAACGGAAACTGAGACGTAACAGAATATATGATTTGAATATTATACTATTTGCGTGATGAAATAAAAATATGTGTTTAAATTGAAGATTGACGACGAAGTTTCTTTATTAACTTTGGAAGTTCGCTCATTTCACGTACACTTTGACCATCAATAAGAAGTGATGAACTTGTTGACGACAACATTTTTTTTGATGTGAGACTTGGTGTTGACAAGTATTTCGAAGACAAGAAACGTGGAAACGAGTCTTTTTCCATCAATTTAAATATTTTTTGTTGTGCTAGATCAAATGTCTGTGCGTTTGGAGTTTGTATGTTCTTTTTTGTGGCGATTTTAGTCATGGAATCGATGTTAATCTGTGTGTGAAAACAAACAAAAAATTATAAAGCTGTCGCACTTTTTGCTGATTGTTATCTTGATCTTATTACGAATAAACAAATGTGACCAACTTAATCGTATAATTATGCTACGACATAATTTGGAAAAGTATTACTGTAATCTCACTAGAATTCTCATGACAGATGCTTCTTACTTAACTTTAGGCAAACAGGCTTCAAAGTTTATTGACCGTATAACACTTTTATCTTTTCGCTTTACACTTTTTCTTTAATTGCAAGAAGTTACTTCGAATATAGCGAGTAAAACTAACTTTCAAGACTCAATCGTTAATTCCCATGGCAGTAGATAATTATCAAATCAAAGTAATAACTGATAAAATTTACCTCTCTAGGTGCGTTATCGGCGATAAAAGTGTTAAAGATCTTCGGAGCTCTTTTGCGTTGTTTACTTGATTTCTCTTTTTTAAATCTTTCACATTGACACCAAAAATCCAAGTTTTCTTCGCTGAATTCACCAGCTAGAAATTGTCGAAATGCAAATTTTGAATCTGATGAAAAAGAAAATATTTATGAATACGTATATTTATTTGTCTTATTATATTAAATTTACATGTATACACTGCATTATCATTCTATCCAAAAAGATCACTTTTGCTACCATTGTTAAAAAATTAATATAAGTTATTGAATATTAAATATGAAGGAACAACAAAATAAATATGGATCACTTTTGCTACCATTGTTAAAAAATTAATATAAGTTATTGAATAATAAATATGAATGAACAACAAAATAAATATGGGATTGAAATTAAATTAGTGAACTTACCAACGTCGTTGAGAACTTTTTGCAGTGTAGTATGCTGTCGTTTCATCATGCTGACCTTACTTGTCGACGGGAGAAACTTAAATGTTTTTACAGACAGTGATCTAAAAAATTAGAAAGAATTACAACACGGAACAATATAGCTAATCTCCACTGTTCATACGGAGCTTAAAAAAACGTAGTATAATTACAACAATATCAAAGATTATTTTATTGCCTATCTCTGATAATCAAATGTAACTGAAACTTTGATGCAACGAGTTCGTACCGATGCTTTTTAGAAGGCAAGTAAATGGGAAAAACTGTAACTATATTGGTGCTCGTTGGTATAATTACATCGTAAGATTAAATCAATACAATGTCTGGTGCAGTTTATTTGAGTTCACGAGGATAATTTGATTATTGATAATTAAAGCTGAAAGTCAAGGTTACCTTCTCAATGGCATGATGTTGTCTTTCTTTTCTTCGATTGTTTGTAACTTGGCCAACTTCACCTGTTTGTTGGGCATGAATGGACTGTCGCATTCGGTAGAGTTAAACATGCTACATGCGGTAATGGTATTCAATGGATTTCTTCGTTTTTTGCAAGAAATGAAGCAATGGGTTTTGACTTAGCAAGAGGCATTTTGCTCACTGGTTTTGTTCAATATTGTACTGAACCTCTCGAAGCTGTAACGTTGAATGTGTGTTGTTCCTAAAAAGAATCCGTTTTATCCAGTTTGATTGAATACCTTCCCATTGTTTAATATACTTATTGTTTACTTTGTTGGGTGATGGGGAAAATAATGTAGCGCGCGACAAAGCGCTCCGGGGCCTCGTTCGCCACTGTTTGCACGAGATGTAGAGTAAATTGCCACCCACCGCGAGGGTACAATGAGAGGCTAATGGTCCGCTATTGTACGATAAGGTAATCTCTGCGGCGTACGGATGTATAGAGAAAAATAGTCATTGTATTGTGAACTTTAAATCAATAAATTAAGCCTTCAGAATAAGCCTAAAGAAAATATTTACTAGGAGAAAACATTAACATTTTCAATCCACGAGTCGTACATCGGTCGTGCACCTGCACTCACAGTAAACTAAACGACCCTGAAAATTTGTTGTTTTGACTTGACTCTGCGCAATATTTTTGTTCTCGCGCACAATTGCTCGATCGATATACATGTATACATTTGAAAGACTGAAAGTTCGTTTTCAAAATAAACAAATATAGAACAGGTTAGGCGTGGGACGAATCACAGGTTCGCAAATCAATCCTAAATCTAATACTATGATATGACACGAAGTATTTGCGTTGACTCCCATCTTGGCAAACAATTTCAATTCAATTTTTACGTAGAATAATAAGCGTAATAAAGCTCTGCCAAATTGTCCAATACCAACCTAATTAAAATTATAAAGTGTCTTGGCCATTTTACCTTTATTATTTGTACTGTATGAACATGATGCGAAAATGCCACGCAACGTGTGTAGCTATTTATAAACCAGTACGAGTATTGCCTGAAGAATATAAGGGATGGTTTTCACCCCCGTGATTAAGTTTTCATATCTCACGTGGAAGATCTTCTCTGAACGAGCAATAATTCCTTTTGCTCTTCAGGAAACTCGAATAAGTGATACATGAATAATAGAATGACACTGGCATTCATTACAACTGAGGTAATTTTAGATACTGTTCCACTGAAGTGACCAGCATTCGCTTATTTTTACTACTATTGAGAACGTCTCGGCGGATGGTGACTAGACTGGCGGGCCATGTAAGTATGACGTAAAAAGTCACATTTTATGAACAATATTTACAGTGTTACAAACGCAAAAGCAAAACTAAGTTTAATTACAATATCAACAAATTCCTTGAGCTAATTTTTAGCTGAAACATTAAAATTTGGTTTTGCTTGTGGTTGTGGCAGCTTCGGGCGGGCCAAATTGAAGTACCCAACGGGCCGGATTTGGCCCGCGGGCCGTAGTTTGCTCTATAATCTCGATGACCAAAATTCATTAAGTTCACCTATTGGAGAAATAAGCCGCCTGTAAGGTTTCTCCTCCACATTTAACGAGGATGTGAACTGAAGTATGCTGGTGGAATATATAAATTTCTGAATTTAGTTTTAATAATGTCGTATTTGTATTTTATGCTGAAGTATCCCTTAGTGGCGTAATATTATGACGACACAATTTAGATAATAGATGCCACCACACCTCATCAATCCCACCCCTAATATACATATACAGTACATAAAAATAGGTTGAAAGGGAATACGGGGAATAAATGTGGTTTGTTATACCTTTAGATCGTTTGAGTAAATAATAATTTATTCGATATACCCAAAAATAAGTTGCAAAGTAAATTTCAGTACAAGTGATGGTTTTCGGTTAGCCTACTGTACAAATTCATTATTTTCCATCATAACAGTATCTATTTGTTATGTTATGATAAGCGATATTGTATGTATGTAAACATCATTTTGAGCGATGGGTAATTTTAAATAATTAGTGCTCGTGAAACAAACAGTTCAACGCTTCACTATCAGTTGATATTGCTTCATATATTATGTTTACTTTATAATCAATAGTAATTATAAAGATAAGAAAACTATAAGTTATTGGAACTTATGGACTATAAATATACGAGGTGAAACAACTGTATCGAATTAACTAATATTGAAAGACATCATTTTAAAAAAGATACTATACAGAAACGACCAACCAGTCCGACAAATTACCACTGTGAGATTCATAATCTTTTTGTAAAATCAATTATGCATGTATCTACTGTACCCGAAACTGACAAATCGAACGTGACTTTACTCGGCCATACAAAAATTTATTTGTAGAACCCTTAAACTACTGGGCTGGGATAAGAGTTCGTATTTATCACAACGAGGAGAAAGTAGGTTGTATGCTATTGAATTGATTTTTGGGGACTAACTACTTAGCCTTTTTGTATGATTTTGTGCCGGTGGATCCGTATGCGTTCCCTGATTTTTATATTTGTTCCTCGGGAGAAGAAGGTACAGGCTTAATAGGTATGTTTTGAGCCCCAAAACAGAAGCCTTCCACCGAAAATGAGGCCAATTTATTATATCTTACATATCGCCCCGTTTTCGAATAACAGAGTCCTCAAGAAAAAGCCGCCTAAAAAATAACAGCCTCGATGCGCTCCTGTTTAGGCTTCAATATGAAAAAAAATAATGTGCTCTAATTCCGAGAAATACCAATTGCTTCCCCGAAATCCCTACCCTATTTAGCACGATGCTCAATCATCAAGGCATTTTTTATTCTGGCAAGAATAACCCGTAGCAAGAAGTAACACGATTCTACAGTATATTTCAGCGCTTTTATATGTTACGTTGCGCGGCCACTGGATGGTAATTCAATCGTGGTGTATCAATATAAATTTATTCCATATCGAAGATGAGAAGTCAATTTAACGAGTAGAGATATTTAAATAGGGGTTGGACAAAACCAAGGTATTTCCTGCGTTTTATTATTTGAAAGATATTTCATTTGCAAATCTAAACTTCGTAAAGGAAACCCTTAATTTTCTCAATTTTCATGCTTCGTGAAAATGTCATTAACTGTGAAAAAGTTATTGCTGCTAAAAAATGTAAACTGACTCTGCGTCTAAATAAGTGAAAAAATCATCTCTGACTCATTTTTAAGTGAAATTGTATTGTGTGTACTGTGTATAGTGTATGACAAGTGTCGTTTTTATCAATAATATTAAAAACGATGAGAAGTTTGTCAACTTTTAAAAAATAAAAGAAATCATATATATATATATATATTTATATAAATATATATATCATTTTAACCACCTGTCCATTAGGTTCAAAATGGTATGTTTATATGAAATTGTATTGTCCGCATTCCTATCTAAGATAAATATGACGAATTCCTTCATATGTCAATTCTGTATCTTAGCGTATAAGCCAACTTTGAACAACAATTTTTGTACGTACTTTTGCAGCTTTCATGAACCACGTTGCGTTTTGCAGAGAGCCGCGAGCTGTCTCACATGAGTCACAAATAATTCGAATTTCTGAATTGTCGAGGTTTGCATCTTAGAAATGGTGGAATTTGTAAACAAATGAAGGACGCAGGGAACATTCAGGAATTAGCGCTTCTAACATCACCTATCTGCCCGTGTGGTCATTAAATAATGACATTCGTGTTATCTTTAGCTTCAGGCAACAGAGACTTTATGGTCGAGTCGTTTGATCGACCTGGTACCGCCGCACCGCGGCACCGGTACCGGTACCGTACCGTACTGCTGTACTGTAGTAAATATTTAACATATGCTCCATTTCAACGTCTTGTTTATTCAGTTATTTGGAATGGGTTCTTAATACAGTATTACTGTATTATAATCTACTACTAAGTTTTTTTTTATATCAGACAGAGTCAAGTATTTCAGAATACTGGAATACATGAGCAAATATCTGAATATAGAAATACCAGCCAGAATGTAAAAGCAAATTTGACGCTTTGCCATACTACTCTATTAACAGACTACGGCAGGACTATGTAAATGACAGAATGAATTACAGAATCATGACTGCATGATTAAAAATATTCACGAACTGACGAATGATAAATTTTTCAATTAGTATGACAATTTTTCTTATAAACAAATATAGGCCTATTAGTTCTATTCACAAATATACTTAGGGCAAAAATATTTTCAATAAATCTGGGCATACCGTAATTACAGAATTATGCTTATGAAAAAGTCGTTTTTTATGGATTTAAAACCAATTGCAGAAGTGAATATTCAGTTAAATTTTAAAAAAGTTGTGTCCAGTAAGAAAAAGGTTTTGAAATTTAGGAGTTCACAATGTTTTTTTTCAAAACGTGCTCAAGCAGACCAAAATATATAGATTCAACTCATATGAAGATACCGTATCACTGTATCATGTGCTAACTCGCATTCTGTATATATATGGTTCGTAAACATTTTCCCAAATGGCATTTACATCATTAAGTTATTCTATTTCGTTCATCTCTATTCTCTGCATGGGCGAATGTGCATAAAGTGAACAATTCATTCTGCTAATTCTGTAATTAGAAGTCTCCTGGAAGATTACAAAAATATAAATGTTGTGAGCATTGTAGATAAAAGGCAAAATAGCTAGGAAAATTATTTTGATTTTTTTCAGAAATGTAAGGTTCAGATCTTATTTTACTCTTTATATTTATGCAGAATGTATCGTACTATCATTGTTGTTATTAATGTAAACATTGTGTAACTTAACTTATATCAACTTGGTGATCTTTGATGTTCTTGTGCAATATTTTTCATCTGTTAATAAAAATACCAACGAGACAATTCTGAAGCCTGCAAAAGATGTCGTCACAAACACAGAACAACAATAATCTCGACAAGCTGTCGCTGGATAAAAAGCATGACATGAATGATAATTCTGGTATGGTATATTTTCTATTTATAAGTTGTTGCTATATAGAACTACAAATATTTATCAGAATAGATGATAAAAATGTGGGTCATTCAGAAACTTTTAAGGGTCATTTAAAACTTTTTGTGGGTTTCACTCTGAGCAAGGCTCTATACAAGATTCCACTACAACGTTATATGGTGTATGACTAGATCACCATTTTATTTGTTTAAATCAGCTATATAAACATAAAAAAACTTATTGCATCATTATTATTTACAAACCTTTACACAGTTCTTGGCATATTTATCATCATTTTTCATTTAGACTAGAATATTTTACGAAAATATTGCACTATGTTGGCAGTACACATCCTGCATTGCTGCCCTTGAAATCATTGGCCATCCAATTCTATTGGCGATTGGCACTTCATAATCATCCTTATACCTATGCTAAGGCTGCATACCCATGACAATACCTTGGCAATAATAATTCAAAACAATTTGATCAATAAATCTAATACTTGCAGACTTTCTACTTTGTGTAACTGATCTAATAAGTCCCTTGTGTAATTTGAATACTAGAGGTTTACCTGCTTAGAAATAATTTTTATATATTTTTTTCATATAAGCAGACTTGGCACGATTATATTATAATATGTCGCTTAATCAATACCTTAATGGGGTACGTGCAATTTGCTGGTATTGCCAGATGACAATAATGAGTTATCACCATTGTAACTTAAAAGTCTTAGAGTAAGGATTGAGGAGACATTCAGTTTGAATATAATTTAAAATTACTGAAATGTTTTCATATTAGGGTTATGAAACTGTTTTTTCAAGAAATAACACTAGATGTAGAAAAATGGTGTGAAATTTATATTGGAAAAATTTTGATGCATGAATTTAAACTTAATGAGGAAATATTAATTTAAGTATTTTGTTGTAATTTATTAAAAGTAGTTGTGAGATATGGTCGTCTTTGTAGAAGGTTACTGATATGTAGGTGATTGTCCTCAGGTTTCAAATCCTATTTCCACTCTTTCATTCTTTATTTAACCATACTGAAGTGCTGAGTGTCGGCTGTTATTCAAAATCATAGTTGTGCTATAATCACTATATAGCTGTTCTTGCTTGTTCCTAGCCTTATACAGTGCAAAGTGTGAAACACCACTAAAATGGCTTGGTAAATTGAAAGGAATAGTGGAGAAATAGGAATTCTCAATATAGCGTTCATGATTACTAAGTTCATGTATATTGAATTTGGTCTTGAATTTTTTATATGGTTTTAAATTCTAATCTTATCTATGAATATGATATATGACTTCTAATTGAGTTTTTTGATCATTTCATAACTACAGGTTCTTTTGGATCATCTCCGATTAGAAAATCTAAAAAGAAGAAAAAACTTGGTTTATTTTCATTTCGATCAAAGAAATCAAAGACAGTTACAGTCCGTAGGGATAACTGTGAGTGTTTTAATTTACTATTTATTAAAAAGGCGTTAATCACTGAATACAACTATGTGGGTATACTACTTCCTGGAATAGAAAATCTTTTGCTTATGTTCAATATACTCGGTGACCCAAAACATAGGACCCAGATGATTTGGAACATAGGTTTTGTGGAACTCGTCCTAGATTACTATAATTTTTGGGTAGAATCACATACGAATAGAAGTTTGTGCTAAATAAACTAAACTGTCTTCATTTTCGTAGAAGTAATTAAGAAATTCATGGTTTCTGTTCTGTTTTTCGGGGTCAACTTGTAGCAAAACGAGTTTTTAAGAAAATGGTATATTGTTTGATCTCCCAGCCAATATTTTTTTCTATAATCTGTTTATTTAAGTAAACTTCATAAGGAAATCATAATTAGTATTCATTGTGAAAAGTTTTCCTTATTCTGATATGCGATACACAGATAACGTGTACTCGTAGCATGGTGATAATGTATTGATTTATAGAAGATGTTGTTGTATAAATGTATGTTGCTTTGCATAATTGAAGACGATCATTGACCACCTTATAAAATAATCATGATAAACGTCATTGTGACAGAAGGTGTATGAAAATGAATCTTGAGTTGAAATGTCTCCCTGGTCCCTGCACTACATATTTTTGTCAAACAAATTTTTTTCAATTATACATTTCATAACATACCATTACATCTTATTAATAGACTAGGCCAATTAGTTTAATATTTCAAATGTTTTTTAGTATAACGAATGAAAAATGGATTTGTAGTTTCAGGGATGTTATAATAGAACAGCATATCTCAACACCTTTGTATAGATTAGATTTGAAATTTAATTCATACTTTTTGCATAATACCCATACAGGCTATTCCAAGTGACTCCACGGAACAATTCCAGAAATTTTGCATGTTGTGAGATGCAATATATTTTTACATTGCCAGCAATATGTTTTGTATCATTGTCCAATGAGTTGATTTATGTGGGTTGAACTAAACTGTATAAAAGTTACACACAACAATTACTTAGTAAATATAAAATATAGTAAGATATAGGGATGGGCAATATAGAATAATTTACTATTCTAGAATATTCTAGAATAGTTAAATCGAATCCAGAATACCGAATCCTATTCTATTTTCATACTTATTCAAATAGTGGGAATTTCCACAATTGTAAATGTATTACTATGAATTTATCTTTTATTTGGAAATGTCCTGAACATTTGTTTCCATTTGATATTAAACAGGCATTTCCCAGGACAATAAAATTTAGGAATATTACAATATTTTTTCCTTCAATTGTTCCAAATGTATGTAATCCCTAAATACTGAAATGCTAAATTAAGACACGCTTTACACACTTAAATAGTAAGCGGTTAAATACAAAAATAGATATGAAACGGCGTTAAATCATTTTCAATGTTAGTCTGCCGAGTTTACTAAAACATACCCGCTGAGAATTAATTAGATGCAGGACCAGCGTGTGGCCACTGCAACTTACGCGGCCGTTGTAAAATATTAAATTTAACCACTATATTATATCAAAATCAATTTTTTATTCTGTGCTAGCAAGACTCGTAAAACCAAGTTCCCCTAAACGCGATTTCGTACTTAGTTATTAGGTAATAACATCTAAAGACTAATTCCTTTTCTATGATTATCATTACATATCATTATCTACCCAGACTTGGCCCTACTTAAACTCAATACGTCACTATCTTCGCCAGATGCGGCAACTTTTTCTTTAAATTTTCGGCGACTAAAATACTACAGACACTCGATCAAACGTGCGTCTATCTTGAACGATAGGAACGGACCGGAAAATATGTACCGGTAATCATTTAAGAGTGATATTGAAATGTGACAGATTTTCGCGTATTGCGATATAACTTTGTATTTCGGAAAATGGTGTACTTAGGTATTAGGTGATAACATCTAAAGACGAATTCATTTTCTATGATTATCGTTACAGAATATTATCTACACAGACTTGGCCCTAATTAAACTCAATACGTCATTATCTACGCCAGATGCGGCAACTTCGTCTATCTTGAACGGTAGGAAAGGACCGAAAGAAATGTAATGTTTCGAGAGTGGAATTTAAATGTGACAGATTTTCGCGTATTGCGATATAACTTTGTATTTCGGAAATGGTGTAATAAAATTATTCGTAAATAATATTTGATCTAAATTAATCGCAAGCAATGTTATAACATTTAACGCCTGGCTTTTGTTTACATGCATCATTTTTTTGGGAAAACTCGCAAGTCGCGAGATATCATTTAATGTAAAATGAAGCAAGGCACGTCTGTAAATAATTAAAGATTGTTGCAATCAGATTATCGCTAGTAAGTCGGCACAAATAATTATTAATATTATGCGTTAGCTATACACTGAAGCAAATCAGTAAAACGCCAAAATGTTGCAATAACGAGTCTTCGCCGACTTCTTGTTCTGAATATGCCGATTGAGATTACAGTGTTTGATGTTTACCGACTTTATGAGCAGACGCAAGTAATATTAAACGAGAGAGATTTCCACGCGAGAAAAAACGCTGGTGCGATATCCACGCGAGAAAAAACGCTCGTCTTTAATTGATAAATTAGTAACCCGAAATACAAAAATTGACGCTAGATTATCGCTAGTAAGTTGGCACAAATAATTATTAATTGGCGCTTGGCGCCGGAAAGGCGGAAACCGAATCCTGATATCGGATCCCGTTGGATTCGAATACTTTGGGATTCGAATCCTCCGGATTCGGTATTCTATATTGCCCATCCCTAGTAAGATACAACGTGACACTACAGGAATCAACCGTATTTCTATTCAGCAAATTTTCAATTTCCGACCATAAAACTTCATTTATTTTTATTGATTGATATTTTGAATCTGGAATTAACTTGCCCATGTTAAACATAATTGAATTTGTTGTTCACATGTATCTCGTTATTCTATGTCATTCATTTAAACGTATTCCAGGATGTTATGGAATATAGCTTTATTGCTCACTCATGGTGTTTTTCTTTGTTTATATAGTGACTGCAGACCACAGTGATTCAGCGTCAGTGTGTAGCGAGATATTAACATCGGAAGGTTAGTATTTTATTTTCAATTATTCAATGAGCTGTTTGTTGATCGACTCCATAAAGCATGACACAAGTGGTTCTCAAACTCTCTGCTGTTCTATTAAAATATTTCATTTTGCTTTTCGCAGGGTTCCATCAGTTATCTTATTTATATATTTAATAATGATAGAAACTCCAAATAAATAAATGTTATAGTCAAAAAAAATTAAACAAGGATTTAAATAAAATGTAATCGTTGTAAATGAATACTATTGACGGCTTCTGCTCGTGGCCTCCAGAGAACAGCTTTGTATCACTTTAAGGGGGTCGATGGCCCAGGTTGAGAAATGACTCAGTGGTGCGGTGCATCATTCTAAGCGTTAGAAATACGCTCGCTCGCTAATTTGCGTGGGTTTACAGGTTTGAAGCCTATGAGGGATAATTTTGTGTGAGAGGATTGCTGGACTTCTCTGCTGTAGGGTGGTTCACATAACTGCTATTCGATCCATGCATCTGAAATAAATAACTGGCTAACTATCTCATACCCGACCCGACATGGACTGGTAACTGAACGAGAGGCTATTGGCTTTCCTCTCCCCCGGGATAAATATGTAAATCCTATCCTATCCTGCTTTATGATCATTTTTCTTTTTGCCATCATTTTCTGCTTTAGAAGACAATAGCTAAAAAGATATTTAACACATAGTATACTGATTGATGACTATTGGCAATTCTATTTCCTGTATCATTCTACACATGAGACTTGTTGCTCATCTTTGCAAGATGTGACAAACTGAGATGACAGCTATTTATTCATTTATTAAAACAAAATTATGTTACTTCAAACCGATGTAATTCCACTAATAAAGTGAACTGTTCAGCAATGTGTCATGCATGGTCATAGTGTTTTAAATCTAGTCAAATTGATTGTTATGCTCATTTTGTTAGTACAGATATCATACATTTAAGAGTCATATATATATTTGATTGTCACAATTTATTAATAACAAAAATAGAGCCATATTTATGTAATGAAATTCCATATTCACACATAAACTCAATCAATTAAACGAGTTTTTTCAGCTTGACTGGGATCTTGAGTATAATGAGGGCCATCAGCAAACAAAATAAAGCAAAATCAAAAATTTTCCAAGCCCACTAGAATTTTTCAATAGCAATCTGTTATCCTTCAATGCTCCAGTTAGTATAATTTTGGGAATTTTTTTCTTTTTAAGAGCTACCCCTAAGCCAGTTAATTAACAGCAGCATATACCACTTTATCATTAATGATTGAATAAGTTATACCCGACCATTTTTGAACATCTGAGAATCGAAACGAATATTTTTTTTAATTGAATCTTGAATACTTAGAAGATATGTAACTGTATGCGACGTTTTTATAATAATGTGTCCTCCAGGCACACATGTAACTGAAATCATGGAATCCATTACTCAGACATTTTGCTGAGCATTTATACACAATAAGAAGTATATTTTATTAATAACTCACTAGAAATAAAGGAGTCATATTGAGTCATAGCCAGAATTGCATTGTAAAAATATGGTTTCAATAAGAAATTGAGGAATGCAACTTGACCTTCGGTAGACAAAATAACAGGATGGCGACGATTCAAAATTCTTGTCTATGTGTGTTAGTAAGGTGCTCCTGACATTTCGCAATGCACCAACCGTCAATCTATGTATCAAGTGGCTTTTTAACTTATCTGCTCTCTTGCATTTCTTTATCATTTACAAATACTAATATTAAGATTGATAATGAAAAGCAATCGTCTTGAAATTCTTTGATAGGCTATTCAAAATGATATGGTCATTGATGTCCAAAACACATCGAATATTCGAGTCAAAATAAATTAAATTCGATATTACAATATTTTGATGCTCGGAATAAGTTAGAATAGTTTAAAGCTAGAAATAAGCTAGAATAGTTTCATTTGAAAAATTTGTCATTTTGGGGATTTGACATAAAAAATAGACTCTGACACAATTAAGCAACATTCAATCAAAACAATGTTTATCTCAACTATTCTGCATTTACCCATTTCTATTTAATTAAATAATTCAAATTTCTTTTATTAAAAATGACCCAATTTTGAAAATATTTACCAGTAGATATTCCACAATTATAAATGTATACGGTATAGTAAATTTTTCGGTTTTGGGCAACATTGAACTCAAATCCATCCATATATCTGTCATTTTCTTAGTAATCCCTGCGGGACTTTTTCGAAATTCCTACAGTGGGATTTGATTTATTATTCTCAACTTTCTGCTATTTTAATTGCGGTTTTAATTTGAAGCTTTTGTTATCAAAATTTCATATATCACATTTGTCTATCATCATTATTTAATAATTTTAGATGGATCTTACTCCTCAATAACAACCACAACACATTTAGAAAAACATGTTACCAAACTAGAGAGATCTCGAAATAGCGTTGCGGTAAGCATACATAGTAACAAAATGTTTTTTTTTTAAATTAAAAATTCTTAATTCTCATGGCCACTACCTCACGTAGAAAAGTTGTGAAAATTTGCTGAATGCTGATGTATGATCAACTTGCCAGAAATGTAATAAAACAATTTGAAAAATTTCTATATTATAAATCATTAATATGGTTTTGAACTAATTTTTAAAATATTAATTTAAATTGTTTTTTACTGTTTTATTAATTCCTAATTTTGACAACAGAATCACTCGTCTAATTTGAATTTGGAGGAATTGGAAGAGAATATATTGACGGTAAATTGCTTTTCAAATCTTAAGTTTTAGAATAACGTATTACGATAATTGTGATATAATGTGAGAACTCACATTCAGACTTGTTTCTCTGAGCAAAGTGAAAGGCAAGTAGGCAACTACTGAAATAACCAGAGCTATTATTTTACTAAAACGATATAAATCTATCGACGCATGAAATCCAAATTGGGCTAAGTCCATTTTTCTAGTTTTGAGAAAAACGCAAAAAACGTTTTTTTTTTTGTTCCTTTTTTTTATTTCTCTAATACCTTACATCGAGGATGTCTAGTTTTTATGGTCCACCAAAGTTACAACGAAGGCCATATTTAGATGGTATAAAAAAATTTGTGCTCCGCCCCAATTTTTTTTGGGGGTTTTTTTTTTGGACTTAACCCTTTTTGGCTCTCAATTTTTCTGGACCAGAAACAATTTTATTGGACTTAGGGCCCCTTTATTATGTTATTATAGAGGCTGGTATGGACTTAGCGCTTTGTATTATATTTTTTGAGAGGAGCTATGTCCAAAAAACGGACTTAGCCCCAACTTACAATGCAGTTATCCAGAGCTAAGTCCACTATAGTAGACACAGCTCTGTTTAGTTCTCAAATGCCCTAAAAAAAGCAGGGTTATGTCCATAGCTGTCTTGAGATCTAGAGCACCTAGAGATAAGGCAAATAGACCAAAATGTAGAGCTAAGTCCAGGAAAATCAGCAATTGAAAAATGTCATTTTTTGAAAAAGTGGACTTAGCACTGTTTGGTTTTGAGGTGTCGCTATGACCATGCATTATTTGGAATCAACTTTTGATTAACTCGAGACTTATTTAAATCATAGTAATTTAATTATTCAGAGGGAAAAGTGTGAATAAAAGCAGTGTATAAAAAATATTGATTTCTCTTTTTTTTACTTTTAATTTACTTTTAGATGGCACTATTGTGATCACCTTGCGTCGAAAGAATATGAAAATTGATTTATTGATCAATTTAAATTACAGTTACCAGACTTTCAAGACAGTTATTATGATCATAATCTATAAGCTTAGTGGATGTATGTTCTATCCGTCTTTATAAGCGCTAGTAGTAGTTTGAGTAGTAAATCCGTATCATTGTATTAATGTTTATCATGTGTTAAGAATAGAGATTTTATATTGAATACCTTTGCTATTTTTTGATAATTTGTATACCATGGAATGCCGTAGTCAAATTAGTGAAACTCATAAAATCCTAATTTTGTTTTTTATTCAGACTGAAGAAAGAGTAGAGGATTTAAATTCACATACAACAGTTATAACTACGACTGAAAATGAGGACATAATAACAGTAGTGACGCCTTTCAATGAGGATGAACAAATCAAAAATTGTGAGTATGGACTCAATCTATTAATATGTAACGTGGATTATTGGTGAGATCATGTGTTACCAAATTATAAAATGAAGGTTTTAAGAAAAAAAGTAGAATGTAGAAATTTCGAAAAACAATTTATTGGAAAATTTTTAGAAGAAATAGGTGCTTTCTGGTATCTAATCAGTGTTTTAGATATTTTCAACAATATACTTCAATAAAAAGTTGTAGCAGTTCAAAAACCAATAATATACGTTTTCCCCAGCTTTATTAATAAGAATTTGATCTCAAATTTCATGTAGTCATGAAATGATTTTTTTGCCAAATATACTGATTAATAATGTTGCCAATGCAAGATAAATATATGAAGAATTGTATATTTCAGTTCATAGCCTATAAATTTTTATTTTGCTGTATTAATGATTCACGTTCATTACAAATTTGGTTCAATATATAAAATCAATCAAGTTTTTGTTATATATCAAGGTCATTTGAGTATGTTTCTTTATTGTATATTGTATACACTACTATCCAAATAGTATCTATACTGATGCGATTCTTTTTTCCAATAAGTCTTGTAAAATGTTTAGCTGGTCTTAAAATATCTTAATTTAATATCATAGTCATAAATATAATAATATGTAACTATTATAGCTAGATTTCAAAAATAAGTCAACAATAAAATATTCTTTGACATTGCAAAAAAAATTTATGCTGAAAATATCATCAAGTCCCTTATAGTTTGACTTAATTGCGGAATTGCAAATATGTTTTGAGTTTGAAGATTGCTAAATTTGTTGATTTTGTTTTGTCATAAAGATGGACTAGAAGCAACATTTTTCAAGATGGACCCATTTCCATAAAATGAAATCAAAGATATACAGCACATTATTAGGTTAATCTCCCTTTATCATAACAATTATATACTCTGATGTGTTGCATTTGGGTTGATGACCTCTTTATGAATTAGGTCTTATAAACATTTTAAACTGTGTGGCTGTTGAAATAAATTAACATAGAAAAATAGTTGGTTGTTTGGCCTACTATTAACATTAGAAGTCATGCTGAATAGTTATCATTCTATGATCATGAGTTAAAAAGTAAGGAATTCAGTTCTTTTACAAAATCATATTCCATCTTGTAATTTAAATTTGGAAGATTTGAAAATTTATTAAAATTATTTTCTAATTGTCAGAATTTCATTGGATGCTGAATGAAAAATTGCCTGTATTGATTAGTTTGGCCTGAAGTTGGTCCTTTGAATTTCCTAGTATCAAACATTAATATTGTGTTATAAAAAGTGCAAATTGTCATATTTTTCACAGGCATATGACATTTGTAGTACGTACTTCTTCCTGTGTATTTTTATCTTCCCTGCAGCAGAATTTTTTATAATGTTCGGAAGTTCACTTAATAAAATTTTATATACAGTAATTCATATTTTTTTCTCCACAACTATGCCAATGCTCGCAAGAGATGATACCTTACCTTGCAATTAAAATTATACCAGTAGTAGACATGTAAAGATAATTTACTGTAGTTTAATTATTGCTACTCGAAAAAAAAAATCAGAATTCTCTATTTTGGTAGTAAATTTATTATTAATTACTGTATATGATTTGCATGAGAGTTCAGATTCAGAGAAAAACTTTGTACATATCATGTTTTTCTGCCTATTGCAGATCAATTTATATTATTCCAATCTGGAAAAAATGAATTGTATAACTCCCAACCAACATTGATAAAAACTGGCCGGAACTAACAATCAAAAATATTCAACAAAAACCTATCAACAGTTAACAAAAACAGTTACCTAAATACCAAATTTATCAAATCTTTTAGGATATTATTAAAGTGTGGAATATTACTGTTATCATTACATAAATATTTGTAATTGTGAATCAACCAGGGCTGGGAGGCTATGGAGCCCCTTAAGTTTTATTGAAGCTTGAGCCAAGGTTACCATAATTTATTATAACGGTAGCTGATGCAGGAGTTGGCTCCATCTAATTTTTTTCATCTTCATTATTTTCTAGTTCTTCATACAAAAAGTAAAGTCAATCTTTTTGGCTTATAATTTTTTTTAAATTTAATTCTTCACTTTTTATTTAAGTATTTAAATTTAACATTTTTATTAAAGTATCGAGTTAAATCTCTATATTCGGAAGTTTCAAGTTTAATTTGAAAATGTTCAAGTAGTGCCTTTGTGAAACTGCATCCATGCTGATGTTCTACGGTAGTGGTCATACCAAAGAACTTCAATGGCTATGGTTCCGGATCTGGATCCCTGCTGAGTGGTAAACAAATGAAGCACTGCAAGATTTTGTAATACACAACATATTTAAAAAAAAAAGTTGTAATTATTCAAGGTGTAGTCTAGGCCAGGGCTTCTCAACTATTTTTACCAAAGATCCGTAAACCAAACTTCAAAATTTCGACATCTTTAAACGTGCATTTCCTCTGAGTTACAGTTCTTTTCATATATCATCAAGTGCAAATATGAGCAAATTACGAAATAACGGTTGAAACTATGACTGTCATTTAATAAAAGGAAACCTTCACACATCCAAAATTGTGCCAATAATCTAAAATAAAGAATGAGGTGTGGTCTGATTCGATTACTCGGAAGGCCCGGATTCGGACCGCGGTCCGCCAGTTGAGTAGCCCTGGTCTATGCTACTGCAAAACAGTTGAAAAATTGTAAAATACTTCATGGTGTTATTAAATAACCATTTTATTTCACTGACATGGATCTGTGGTATTTTATCTCAATAGCACTTGTTAATAAAACACTTCTATTATCAGCAAATGTGTTTGCTTTCCCAGTTTGAAAAATAAACTAAATATCAAAACTTCAGATCTTTCGTAATAATCATATAATCATGCTTATACATACCTGATTTATACAATATTTTCATAGGCCAACTATAAATTAACTTTTACACGATGTGGTTCGCCAAAATTATAGTATGAGTTATCAGCCCTTGGTAAATATCGAAAATTTACCCCCATTGTTCAATATTTATTTGGTTTTTCAAAAATTTATTCTATTTTTGTATAAATATTTGACATTGCAAAGTACATAAATGTGGATCTAATCAATTTGGTGGGATTTGTTCCTTAATTCACGATGTTTACCAATGACATTTGTCAAAAGGAAATAGAGATCTGGAATTTATAACAATATCACTTCCATAGTCTGTAGTCTGTTTTTTTAATATCATCTCCTTATATCAGTTTTCCTCAAAATATCATCTCCACTCAGAGAAAAAGGCGTAAATAGGCAATGCATACAAAAATACACAAATAGTTTTTGTCATCTGTTTTATTTCAATGAAAGCACTCTCTTAGTAAAGAAGCGTTTGATTCCTTTTATTTTGCTTCTTTCATCATTTTATGTAAAGTTGATTATATCTAGCACAGAGGTGGGTAAATTAGGGCCCGCAGGCTGGCTCCGGCCCACTGAAGTATTTCATCCGGCCCACTTGTGTCAGCGGAAATTATGACTTTAGTTTTCATGGATATAAATTTCCGTAGAAAATATCGTCATAATCATGACCCTGATTGTTACATTGTGGTTCTTATTATTAAATACTGGTAAACGTCAGCCAAGCTGAAGGACCAGCTGTTGTAAATAAACTATTTTTATTCAATTTTTTAAAATCGAGTTTCAAACCTCCGGCCCAGTATACAAGTCTATTATCTGTACCTTGCCCACCTGATCTAGCATATAGCCTTAGGCTATCTAAATACTGGGATACTTCGAATTTATTGAATTTTTTTGTTTTTGATTATATTAATAAATTGATACATTTTTGGTAAAATTATGAAATATAATACATTTGAGTGTGTGAAATTTTAGTTCGGAGAGGTTTTAACTTGAGCATTGGTTGAAAACTAGACCCTATCCAAGTTTTTCAAAATTGATTTGAATCGCCTTAAATTGATGCATTTGCTGATGAATATTGAATATTCACTAAATTTGAGTTTTTGGAATTCTAGTTTTTAGAGATTCTGAAGCATTGCTTTAAAATGAAATTTTCAAATTTTATAGAATGAAATATTTTACAGAGAAAGCATGATGGGTTCACATTGCGCCTTTGGAAACATTCCTAATCCTAACCAAGAAATTTTTTTCAAGATTTGTTTGAGCATATTTAATTTTTTTCTCAATAATTTATTTTATCCTATGCCCATTCCTAGCAACATTGTGATCTTAATAATATTCCATTTTTTATGTGTGTTCAAGGCGGTATCTGCTGTGATATGCAGTAACTCCTTTCGCAAACACGTAAGTCTATTTTTCCCGGTCGACAAAATAGCATTGAACCTCGGAAATTTGATTTATTCATGAATCACCATTGCCGAAATTTTTATTAAGCTTATTTTAACAAGGATAGAAATTTTTAGTTAGCGTATATTTCGCATTGTACTGCCTGATGAATAATAAAACAAATATAAGATAGCAAAATCATCACATTCAAATGCCTTATCTGAAAAATTTTTCATAAACTTCTGCTCTCTTGAACTCCCTATCACCAAGAATAATTTTTATATTACTCATGGTGTTTATTGTTTGCTTATAACTCGTAGATTATTACTTCTTTTCAATTGTAGTACACGTCGATTCTCTCGAGTTAACTTAAATATAAAGTAAAAGGCTTGGTACTCCCGTAGAATGTGAACAAAGATGGCGGATACCGGAACGTAGTATGTGTACCAGGTTAGTGTTAGGCCATAATTTCAGTACAAATACTACGGCAGTCACTTGGCTAGTCTCTCGTAAAGGAACTAAAATAAGGAAAATTGGAATAAAATTATGGCCTCACCGTAACCTGGTACACATACTACGTTCCGGTGTCCGCCAGCTTGGTTTACTTACTACAAGATTACCAAAGGCTTTATGCATATGTTTGGGGGTTATTGTCTTCATTTATATTTTCAAAATTACCATTAATTTTGAAAACTCACTTTACAAAATAATCCAATGCCTAGCCTCCGCGGTATTTCAAATCACTTGTTGAAATTTACAAATTGATTAAATTCATATAAATCTTAATTAAATTCAACTAACAGAAAAACGAGAATATCGGTCAGAGATCGAAGACTTATCGATCGAAAGTTAGGGGATCCCCAAAACAGCGCTCTTACTCCATAGTGACACCTTGTGTCCCATCACTAATTAATTGATAACTCGCTAATTATACGACATAATTCGCCCAAAATCAATGTGCTTCTGGTACGAGATATGAAGAATGCACATGCAAAATCTGCAGCAGATCCAATCTCGCTTTCATGAGATATCGCGTGCATCTAACAGACAGACAAATACCTATCAACATACTTACCGATTAAAATCGATAAGTAAAAATGCAGTTTTATGGTCCAGGAGCTCCCTAATAGACTGCAATGTGATTACTCAAATTGTAAGAGTTAGTACACATTCACATTCTAGTGAATTACAAGCTCTTAGTTTTACAACCTAATCAACTCATTTTCTCTACATGTTATTGTTAGCCCGTCTCATATTGTACATTGTGGGGATCATCTTTCCATCGTGGGGATTATCATGATTCTCCGAAAATAAGACGTGGTCTTATTTCAACTTTCTTTCGAAAAATAACACTCATGGCTTGTTTTTGGGTAATGTCTTTTATTTTCATTTATCAAAAACCAAATTACAAAGTAATAAATTACGAGAGTTTTGAATAGCCTGTGGAAAATATGAATCCTGGTGTATTCTTCACTATATTGAATAGGGCGCAGTTTTTTACTAAAAATTTTGTCGTTTTTTTTTTTCAATAATGGCGAGCACTTTTTTTATTACATTTTTTCTCAACCGCCTCTGTATTGTTTGTCCTTCAATCTTCTCAGCAAACTCTGTGCTCTTGGGCTTTACGGTATCTGTACTGATGCAAGAGCTTTGCCTTTTATTTTTTTTAATGTATATCGTTGTGTGGAAATAGGATTGCGTGGGCTATTTCTAGCAATACCCTATGTTTACATTTCTTTTCTACCATTTTTGAAAAAATAAAAATAGTGTCAAACACTCAGATTAACCTATATCCAAACGACATAAACAATCCTCTCAGTTCTTCTGAAATGTTAATTCAACAACAACAATTGACATTTACCACACAAAATCAGTCTTAAATTATTTGAAATAACAATTGTGCTGCCACTATAGAACAGGATGTAATTCTCATTATGCTCAAATTTATAAGAGGAAGTTAGGCATCGTGTTGTAAGTTAGTGCGTGGGTGTTCGTTTACCGATAGAAATTTGTTATTGTGTATACCTATTTTGCATGAGGAAATTTGTATGGCAATAATGGGTCACATAGAACTGATAGAAAGTCAGGTATTTGAGGTTTTATTCCTAGTGAAGCACATGATTAATTTGTCACTAACAGTAAGGAGCATTGTTGAGTATCTAAAATTCTAATTGGTTTTATAGTGATTATTTTTTTTGTCTTGAGTATTCCACTTGAAAAGTGTTGTTCATTTTTCAAGTGATGCTTCATTTGAAAAAAATGAAAGCTATGATTTTAGGCATAATCTATAATTTTGTATTGCTTTGCAACTGAAATGAAATGCAGCATAAGAATTAGAAATTTTCTGCACATTTCGATGATGTCATTCATTATTTATCGTAATAATTTAGGTGGGAGTATCCACACTGTAAATATTTTTGTAAAGTAAAGTGTATTAGTATAATATTCATGTGGCTTCTTGTTTTCAGTGAATATAGGAGTAAACAAGCTGTCATTTTAACTGGGTACCAATTTTTTTTTCAACTATCCCGCTGCTACTAAACTAGAATAAAGATTTACCTTACTTTCAATGAGGAGGTTTTGAAATTTCTAATGGCCAAGCTGGACTGTGACAGCTACCGGGTCGTGCCTGGGTTTTAGGGAGTTTTGAAGGCTAGAAAATGTATGATACAGAAAAATAATTTTTTTTTACATTTCGAAAGGGGGAAGGTTCCAACTCGTAAAACCACCCCCTGGGTACACCCTGGTCATCACATGTAACATTCGGGTTCAAATTCAATGCCACCATTTTTTTTTTTTGAGAAATCCTAATACGACATCAGTGACATATATCACGTTATCTTCCTTCATTGTTTTTATCTTGAGTTTGGATGGCTAACTCTTTTGGCATCTGATTGACATTGAGTTTTAATTGTATTTTTGACACCTAGGAAAATGAAACATGTCATTCACATATTTAACAAGTATTCATTTCAATGGATGGATTCAATATTATTACGATAACTTTCATTGGCTTGTGTTTTTGACATGCATGGTGGAAACAAGTGTCAATTATGGCATAAATATGTCTACGGATTGACTGATCCCTTAGGTTTCAATTTGTCCCAAACAATTGAAGGTCCTTACCGCATTCATTGACAAGTTAACATGAAATTAAATTGGTAATATAGAATAAGGTATGGGTATTCCTATTAAATAAAAACTATTTTCGAAAAAAATTTAAGAGACAAAATAGTTACCAGACTGTGATGGTTGAAATTTTATACAAAGCTGGTTTATTTTTTCACTTCCTGTGGCCCTGTGCAAGCTTTCACATATGTCCAACAATATGTAAGGTTTTTGGAAAAATTGTTCGTTGTTCGGCATTTACTCCCCGATTTAATACACCCTGGGTGATGCGGCTCTGTTAATAATTAGAAACAATTGAACACTGTCTTCAAACATTTAGACTTATAAGATAAGAAATGAAGGGTCTTGTATAATCATCTGGCACAATAGCAGAAAGCTCTGTATAAGTGGCCACTTTAACTCGGAAAAATGCTATTTTGGTTAGAATGCCAAATTTGCTATATCCTATTTTAGGTTGGATTTGTCACTAGACTCCCAAGAGCATAAATCTGTGATTCAAATGTGAATTTGTTATTATATGTAAATAGAAATTCATTAACAACTTATATTTTGTGTAGAATTGCTGGACTATTGCCATTCAGTTGAAATGGAAAGACATTTGTCAATGTCATTTTATGTGATATTTTAACATTTCATCAATATATTGTTTCGTGCATTCCAATGCATACAATTATAACAGTATTTAAGTATTTCCTTAATAATAATCCAGTCTGTAGGAAACACAAAGTATCAACCCAACAACAAATATTCCTTTATTCAATTCATTTCTAATTTCTTAATAATTTATTTTAATGTAAACTTATAAAGTACAGGAGAAAGAACGAATAAATTTCTTTATTACTTGTACGGAACACCTAATTTCATGTTTGTGTATGACTGTATCCAAAAGTTAAATGGGATGGGAGCTTTTTCGCACAAGTTTTGTTATTTAGAATATGTCCCAAATGACCTGTTTTTTTTATTGGGGGGTGGGGGGGGGAGTGTATCTATTTCATTCTATAGTGTAATTTCCTAATTTGTAATTTTAAGTAAAAATTAAAAAATATGTTGTTTTACGCAAACTAAAATTAAAATGTACAGTTGCCTTATTTTGTATGAGTATAGCATTCTGTGTTTTAAATATACAGTCGGTGTATTGTCACCCCTTATAAACTCTATCACCATAAACAATAATAGACAATCATAATGAAATAGAATAGGAAATGGTTACAAATCATGCGGGAATGCACAATGCATCATTTGATGGATATAGAAGTGTAAAAAAATTCACTTTATTGTTATCTTTTGTTTGGTGTCATCATCATGTCATTATTTTCCTTTTCTTTTTTTTAGCTCATTTGAGTCAGAAGCATATTGTCGATGACACAGTGGACCATATAACAGACACACAAATCCAACAGGGAAGAGAAGGACCTGAAATCAATCATAATACAGAAGTAAAGGTAACTACCTAATTTCGTATACAAAAACTTGTTGTTGGATTAGATAGATTAGTATTTGCAGTGGTTTTCAATCAGTTTTCCGAGGCACCCTAAGGTTCTGCCAGTACAGTCAGTGGCGCAACCAGCGGGGGGGTTACGGGGGTCGTGTCCCCCCGTTTGAATTTCGTTTTTTTTTATTATTGTTCTATGTTAAAACAACGTCGTTCCACGGTCATAACAATCCGGTGAAAACTACTTTTTTCCAGTGCTTTATCACCTCGACGTAATTTAACACCGCCCGACTTCAATCATACCTTTTTGCTGATAGTTACGTAATAATCGCTAACCCCGCGTATATGTTTGTATCCGAAAATGAGATATGTTATCTCAAAAAAGTAGAAATCGCGCGCTGTCGATGCGAATTGAAAGCGACAATAGCATAATGCTATCTCTCTCTCTCTCTTGTGACGAATACTCTCGTGCTTCATCATCTTGACGCAATGTAACGCCGCCCGTCTTCATGTTATAATAATGCAGTAGAAACTCTGAAAATCTGGATACGAAAATTATTTTCGGAAAAATATTGCTTCGATTAACATAAGATTTTCTACATATGAAAGGCCGAAAACCGAAAACGCCGTACACATCCTACCGCCCCCGTCCACGTTCTGATTTAAAAACATTCCACAATTATTTCATTTTTTATCGCAATCGAAAGCAGCCATGTGTGGCACGGCAATAACTAACAGTCGTCGTGAAAGGTTTTCAATAAACTCTGACTTGAAATGCTTATAAGACGTCGAGGACGTTTTTGGTTGAAAATTTTTTACATTTGTTATCGTATATTTCAATTTAGTCAAATTTTTTAATTTCTTGCAATCTATGAAATAGCTTCTAAATATTATTTGATTTCTATCGGAGATTTTATCGTTATCCCGAGTCCTGACGTCGTTGATAACAATATCGTTCATTTTAAGTTGGAGGTATTGGTTTATAATCAAAAAATTATAACACATAACATGAAAAATTTAAATCAACGCTGACTCAAAAAGTAAAACACGTTTTTCCATCTTCATTCTCCATTATTGGCGGACGGAAATTTGGGAATCGGGTTTAACTAATTTGATTATGATGACGATGGTAAACAAAAGTACACAAACATACCATACCGTTCTTAGTTTTTAGTCGTTATTTCTCTGTCCTTTCTTCTTTCTATGTGCATATTAAGACCAAAAAACGTGTTTTATTATTGAATTCTGCGCTGATTTGAATATTTCATGTCGGCTGTTATAAATTTTTGTTTGTAAATGAATACCGCTAACTTTAACTGAACTGATGTTGTTATCAATGCCGGATGCCGACGAAATCCGCGATAGATATTAAATACTATTTAAGAGCTATTTTATACGCGCTAAATTAGAAGAAATGAAAAAATTTCCTGTTATGTTCGGTCACTATCGAAACTGAGGATGAAAACAACTAATTAAGACACAATTTGCCGAGGACACCTAAACCATCTCGACTAAGTTAAAATACCCGATGAGAAAATATTTTAAATCAAAAACGTCCTCGAAGTCTTATAAGTTCTTCAAGTCGGCGTTTATCGAAATTCTTTCATTTCAGCTGTAATATATTGCCGAACCACACATGGACGACGACGCCTAGGATATGTGCGCCATATTTGGGATTATTATAAACACGAAAAAACAGTATTTGAAGTTTGCGATATTTGAATTTAAATTCGATTTGGACATCCCTGCATTAAATTAATCAGTTTTTAGTTGTGTTTCCAAAAATTAGTTGTAAATCAATTATTTTAATTGTCATTATGTCTTCCGGTGAGCTTCAGTTTAGTTTAGAATTTTTCCGGGGTTTGGGTCGGGAAAAGGTCCATTCGCAAGAAGTGCATTTTGTTTTTAGTCTTGACGAATTCACCCAACGAGCAAGGCGCGGCACGAGGGAAACACTGGAATTTATTCAAGCCGTGTTTCACTATCCACGAGGCGCAAAGCGAGGAAAACGTTGAAAATAATTAACAGCTTTTCGTTAGCAATTCGCTGGAATGTAATGAACGGCGTTTTGCTACCCACGAGGTGCAAGACATAGCGAAGCGCCGTTAATGAACGAGTGCAAGGTAAGCGAAAGGCTGGGATTTAATCGATGGCGCTTCCCTTTTAACCATTAGCAATTTATCGTGGTCAGCGGGGCGACACCTAGTGGCGTTGCGACTTACGTCGTGGTTGCACTATGTAAATTCCGGTTGGACCCCCCCGTTGAAAACGGCCTGGTTGCGCCACTGAGTACAGTCAAGGTTTTATTTTATGTTTTCATAAAGCAAGGCTATGAACAACTACTACGCTACCAGAGGAGATATTCGCAAGTAACACTTGAACTTCTGTCGCTCGTGTAGAATTGTATCCAAAAGTTTCAGTAAATCTAGAAAGCTTTGCACAGAAGTTAAAATCTCTCTAGAATATGTTTCAATTACTTCCAAATGACCTGGGTTCTGTAAGTTTTGGTCACCTTGCATTGTTGCTCTCCTGTACATCAACATTCCTTGTAACAAATAAGTTCACATCTAGTTCGGTCACATCTAAATTTTATACAGTACTGGTATAGAATCTCTAGTTTTTATAGAATTATGAAACATGAATATTACCTCGAATCACCCCAAAATACATCATTACTACAAAAAATGCTATCAACATTGCTGTTATGGTAATTGTATTTTAAACTCTTTCAACTTCTACCAAATTGCAAGAAAACATTCTTTCTGTTGCACTGATTGAATTTAATTCACATATTAAAAATCATACCAGCCATGGGCATAATCCCTTGATATCAAAGGTTGTGAGTCATTTTGTCATCTTCATTATCAAATTTCTTCCATACTTCTTATATTTAGACTAAACACAATACATCAACGCCAACAGTACTAGACAACGATCTACCTCATAGCAGTAAACATACTTCTGCTGAAGAAGAAAGTCCTGAACGACCAAGCAGCATTTACCTTGACGCTAACAGACACAGTGGAATAGAACGATCGTCATTCAGAAAAAGTTTAGCAAGGAGAAAACAAAAAATTTTCGCTGAGAATCGTAGCAGTTCAACTGACTGCTCTAGCTACCCGGTCTCACCTGTGAAAAGCAAAACAAAAGTAAGTGCATTTTTTTCTTTCCGTATTTTTCAGCAGAATATTAATTTCCGCTACTGCAAAAAAAAATTTTCCATAAAACTTGAATGCAAATCTCAATTTCCCATTTAGAAAATCAGATTTCAGTAAAAAAATATTTTTAACAAATTATGTGGATTGGTCGGTCTATAGTGTCTTATTACTAAGCAGTGTCTGCTTGTGTGCCCTTGTCTAGAGCAAAAGTTGTATAAATATCTCAATTTCATTGTCAAAAAAATAAATTTCTTAGCTTTCAGTTAAAAATTTTGACGTAATTTTTGATTTCATTTATTTATACGCTCTTACAAAACAAACAACTGTTAACTTGATCCGAATTGGAATTGTCATGCAATTGGTACAAAACAAGAAACAAATATTTTTGAAGTGACTGATTATTAAATTTGCATATTGCGAGTTATTTTAGTACAATTTTCAGATTCAATTTACCGCAATTTTTAGTATATCCTGTCTATTATAAAAAATTACAAATATTTTAGCCTAAATTACAATTGTCAGAACGTAGATCAAATAAAAAGATGAAATTTTCATAAATGAGTAATTTTACTTCATTTTTAAATAATCAGGAACTATTTTTTCCCTACATTTTCGCAAGTAAAGTTTCGTCAATCTTGACATTTTCTTAAAATGTCATCTGTCATCCGGAAAGTTTTTTTAAATCATCCTTAACACAATTTCGTCGCAAACCCAAGGAGTGTCTGCTTGTGTAGACCCTCGTTTAGAGCAAAAGTTGTATAAATATCCCGATTTCATTGTCAGATGAATAATTTTCACAGCTTATCAAAAGTTTGATCCTAAATTTCACTTAAATTTTGACATAATTTTTTATTTTCGAGAAAACGGGTAAACTTTTGGATATAAAACAGAAATTTGATTCAAAATATGTATTTTTGATAATTTTTCAGATCAATTTGGATATTTCTACAAAAATGAAATATTTTATTTTAAAAGCAGAAAGTTTTGTTATTCAGTTTTCACATTGTATCGTAATTCTAGAACAATCTTTCAAATTCAATCTACACTAAATTTTTTGAGCATCCTGCTTTTGATACAAAAATACTAATATTTTAGCCAAAATTACAATTGCCCTGCTGTAGATAGATTATCAAAATAGACCCCAAATAAATAAAAAAACAAGGTTATTAAGTTTCCACATTTGTAGCATTATTTTATACCATTTTTTTAACTTTGTTTTATATCAAAATTTTTGTGCATCCTGTCTATGATACAAAATTACAAATATTCAGACAAAATAGACAAATATTTTATGATTATCCGAAAGTAGATCAAATAAGAAGAAGAAATTTTTTTTAAATGGTAATTGTTTTTTGCAATCTAAACTGATCATGAACTTTTTTTTTACATTTTCACAAGTACAGTTTCGTCAATCTTGACATTCTCTTAAAATGTCATCTGTCATTCGGAAGAATTTTTTAAATTAACTTTTACAGGATTTCATCACGAATAACTTTTTCGTCTAATAAATAAAATCAACATGGTATTTGGTATTTATATTATTTTCACGCTGTCGTTTGATTTTATTGATTTCTCTAATCCCATAGGTATTTAAGAGGCTTTTTACGTCACCACACTCTTTTCTTAGCCTTGCAAGATAAGATTCTGCGTTCAAAATCTACGGTACATATCATTGATTGACACAGTATCTATCTAATCTTAGTGTTGGTGTTACAGGATTATGGTAGCATTGAGACATTAGCGTAGTATTAGGCAGTACTGGAATGTCTTTTAGCGGGTACAGTTGTCTATCCATAGATTGACCATAAAAAACAGAACCCATAGATTTCTTAATGATTTCTGCAAAGAGAAGAAAATGTATTCGACACTTGAACTTGAACTGTTTTTAGTAATCTAGGACGTTTTGCACAAAAGTTATGTTCCCTTTGAAATGTGTTCCAAAGGACCTTGGTTCTATTTTTTGTGTGTGCTAATTAGTGCCTATTCAATGAGATTTACTAAATTATACTTTTTTCTGTCCGTTTTTGTGATTTTGATGTGACACAGTGATGGTGGCATATGGCATTTTTTGACATAGTAAAATGCGATTTTATGGGAAATAAAGTTTTGAAAATAATATTTGTTTTGCATCGCACAATAATAACAAATGCAGTAGGAATGTTCTGAACGAGCGTTTAAGGATTATTCCTCAGTTAATTAGTTTTAATTAATCGACATGATATTTTAATTTGAATTTCGTAGTTGCACCATAGGTCAAATCTATTACCGATGTGTGGGAGAGTAAATTGTGAGAGCAGGAAAACACGAGGCTAGTCTAAGAGTGAGCAATCTTTTTTGGAAAGGGCCGCATTGAGGAAGTTATTTTTCGAAAGAGTTACAGCACGTAATGCTCTGGCAGGCTGTAGTTCGCCCATGTCTGGCCCATTTCAAAACATGCCATGTTAGCTGGTGTCAGAGCTCATACAGGAACGTTTTCAATCAGGCCATTAGATATTTAGTTTCAAGGTTTTATGGTTTGTTTGCAAAGCTGGTTGTTGATCAGAACAACGCAAATTGCAGTTCCACTCTTCAATAATTTATCACTTTAGTAGTATTTGTCTAATCTTGCAGAACAGTCTCCAAAAATTTTTTTGTTTTAGTCAAGACTGTGTGATTTCTGAATGCAATATAACTGTTTGCACCTACTTTCTCACTTAATGATCATAAGGTGATCGTATTACCGTAATTTAGTGGAAGGTGACATCGTAAATAGGTTCTACTATGAAATGATAGAGTGTTTGTGAGAAGAAGATTTTTGTCAACTTTGAACGTTGCTTATGATAATATTTGGCTTGTATTTGAAGTAGGAAGGCTAATAGTAGCCCACTGTGGATAGGAAAGAAAATCTCAATAATTAGTATCTGGATTGGCAACCAGACAAGAGGTCATGTTTTGCCATTTGGTGAACCAAATTAGCCTACGCCTATGTCACATTTTAATAGGGTTTTCAGAAAAATTGCATATTTGTAATTTCCAGATGTAACAGCCAAATCTCAATTAAAAATAGACCTAGGCGCTATTTAAAATGAGTAGATTTGGTTTGGTAATAATAGTCAAAATTATTATTGTGGGTATAAAATTTGCTTTTTTGCAGGAATTTTATTATTTATGACAAGATTGTTATATTATAGGGCCTTCATGACGATTTTGATGCATTGAAATGTAATTTAATAACTTATAAATAGCTAAAACCGTAATAGTACTAAAGCATTTGAATACTGTCATTTTTTGGTTTTCAAGTTTATTATCTTGCTTTAATAAAAGGTTACTCAATGAAAGTTTTCAAAATTTTTTGACAATTTTTTTGTCAAATTTCTCAAATATCAAGGACTTTTAAAATTCTTAACAAATGAATTGCTTCTTCAGAATTTTTCAAATTCAAAATTTTTTTTATTTTATGCAGTGTCATCGCCATCATTTTTTTTTGCTTCGCGTTTATTCAATTTGTTGGGAATATTTCAGAATATGATTTGTTATTATTAAAAAAAAGTTTCTTTGTGAAATTTCACGCTCAGTGCACAACATAGACTATTTTAAGAACAAGTTGTCATAGAAAATACCCCAATACAGTGATTGGCTTCTCGTTTATTATAATTTGATGTAACAATTATGTGACGTCTCATCACGAGTGTACGCAAGCTTGATGATATGTTTATATGTCGGGACATAGCTTGGCATTTTTATTTTATATCTCAGCTTTATCCTTACGTTGATTAAAAAAAGGTAATCAAATTAATTTGTTGACATTATTTGATAAAAACCATTTTTAATTAATGTATACTCAAAGCTTGTATACCCAATAACTTGCACTTTGTAAGTAAGATATACTTGACAGTATGTCTGGATAACCTCGTCATTGTCATGTTTCCGCTTTGAAAGGGAAATTCCAAAGGTTCGTTGTTGATGACATAAGATTGTGTGTTGTGAGGCTATTTATAATTAACTTTCATGAGAATAATTTCAGAATGATTTGTAAGTTGTGTTTGGATTTTCTCCTCACCTATGACTGTTATATTTTCCAAGAAAAGACCATGGAAAATATATATCACAATCTTCGTTTAACTAAAATTGGAGATTGACATTTGTGGAATAAGTATCAGAGTAACATGATTGGCCATCTAAACTTTAAGCATGAAGATTCTACTAATTTGTATGTAATTACTGTATAATTTAGTTCATTATCCATTACCATGTTTCTATTTTGTTTATAATAATCACTAAAGGCAATTACCAAGTATATGGAATACCAATGTAAAAATTTACCTAGGAATTAGCTTTTGGACTTCAGTGGTTCCCCATACTTTACTTTTAATTTGACCTTTATAGCTACACTGTATTTCTATTGATCCAAGAATTATTATTTAAAAAAATGAAATGATGGAAATGATGATATTTGAAATGTTTTGTTTTAAGAATTGAGACAATGGAAAATTATTCATATAGATTTCTGTACTTACCGTATATAGGCTATTTCACTAAGGGAAACCTATCTTGAGTCAAGATTTTGATGTGCTTTGAAAATCTTCGGCATTTCGAAATTAAACAAAATCAATATTGTGAATGCATGCAGCGGCGTAGAGGTTTATTATACGTTGATATCCAATTGAGATTTATATTCCGCTTGCAAAAATTTTATTTTACAATGTATGGTAATCGGTTTCGTCCATTCCGGGTTATTGCTCGTATAAATTACAATGCGATCCACATGAGACCATTTTTAGCTCATTGTGTATTTATATCCATTGGTCAGCAACAGTTCCTTTTTCACCATGCATACTCTCCATAAGGAAGTGCTATTGTCACCACCAAATATAAATATTGCGTAGTTTATCCATTTAGTCAGCACATGTTATTTGTCAGCATTCTACTAGTACATATGTAACAATGAAATTATTTGTTATTATTATGATGTTCTTTCTGATACGGGTGCATAATACCAATCAAACAGGAGGAATAAATATTAATGTTTATATTTGATAATATATAGTGTAGAGAAGAGTTTGAGGTCGAGTTGAGATGAGTTTAAGGTCGAGTTGAGTAGATTCTGAGGGCGAGTTGAGATGAGTTTTAGATGTTGTTGATATTCACGCTATACAATTAAAAAAGATACCGTAATTATTATATACCGTAGTTGCTATCTAATGGCATAGCTTCAACAAACTTTGTATATTTTTAAAGGGAATTTGCTCAAATCGAAGTCACCCACTTTGCGAAAGCAAAAAGTACTCATCTTAAAAAAAAATTATAGGTGACAAATGCCAAGTGTTACTTAAACTGTATACCTAAATTTGAATTCCTTATTTAAGATAGGATTTACATATTCATCCCGGGGGAGAGGAAAACCGATAAGACGGCTTAATAATTTTATGGTGAACCATGGCCTCTCGTCAGGTTACCAGTCAATGTCGGGTATCGAATTGATTAGCTAGTTATTTATTTTTGGAAGCATGGCATGTCGCATCAGATTGGACTTGAGACCTGAGGCAGTTAAGCTCAATAGGATTAGTAGTACAGCTATGAGGTAGTACAATAAATAAGTACTGTTCAAAACATTTTCTATATTTGGAGTATTTTATGTCGATTATCCTTTTTAGCTTCCACAATTTAACATTATGAAATAATAATAGGCTTATAATAAACTTAAAGACTGAAGATACATATTTAAACTTTGGATTTATAAAAAAAGTGAAGCATGAATTTGACAGCACATTCTGGTATAAGAATTCCTTTCCTTTCTTCCGTAAGTATCAATTTTCACAATTATGGCGATCATGGGATTTTAACCTGTGTTGTGATCAACTTTCCCTCTAAGAGCCTGCTTAGTTGCGCAGAATAGAAGGCCATATCAGCTCAAAAAAAAGGTCTGCGCGAAAATTAGAAAAAATAGAAAAGAACACAACATTTTAATACTTACCGGAATGCAGTGCGAGGCAGAACGAAAGTACTGCGCAGGGATTCTTGGCCAGCTGCGCAGCTTAGAGGGAACGTTGGTTGTGATGCCGTCATAGTTGAATCTAATCCTTTAACCACCAGACCTTCACTTTTTATATCATTTTTGTTACCCTCAGTGTCGACTTATATTTATTCATTCATACATCAAATTTAACACTTCCTTTCAAAATGAAGATGAAAATTTATTCAACTCATTTACTATAAAAGTATTTAGAGTTGCAAGTATAACTTTATATGGTTGCTCGTGTTTTGTTTATATATGGTTATATGATATATACTTTGTGGCTTGCTTGCTTTTTTAAGTATGGATTCAATGCATGATTAAATTATTTATAGACATCATACATCATAAGTCAACATCTTCCACTGATAATACATCTACAACCTAAAATAATGCTATTCAGATGGTTGATTTTCAATTAAATATATAATCAATATTACTGGGATATTTTTAAAATCTCCATATTAGTAGTTATATTATAATTTTTATGAAGTTGTATTAAAATTGAAGATAATAATTATGAAGAGATTTATATATGGTGATTGTGCTGCAAAGTTCATTTACCCATATTATTCAAAATTCAATTGAAAACTTCTTTTTTGCAACGTTAATTCATGCTTTTTGCTCTGAACAAGGCTCTTTACTAGCAGCCACAGTCACTATTTTGATTTTTCATTTTGGGAAGAACTAGAATTTTTGGCGCCATGATAGTATGTGCACCAAGATGGCGCACAACCTGAACCATAACTTGCTACACAATACACATACTATATTCAGGTTGTGCGCCATCTTGGTGAACATACTACGGGAGCACCCGAATTTTCTCCATCGTTGAGGTTGGACTAAAATACATTTCAGATAGAGGTTACAATAATAATTACATAATTGTTTTATATTCTCAATTAACCCCTTACAACACGGATTGTGTGTAGCTACCTGTCCGTACATTTTTAATGCACAAGATAATCAGTTTATAATATATTCACAACAAGGAAATATCCATATATGGATAATTTTGTATCCCAAAATTACTCAACCTATTTAATTTTAGTTTTAATTATCATGAATTGTTTTATTTTGCACACAAAATTTAATGGAATTATATGAATGAATCATTCTTTAAAAAATTGGGGCAAATTCCATCGATTTTACTGTTATTTTACACATTCAATCCTTGACCATCATTAATTATAAACATCAAATAAAATGTGAATTCACAAATGTTGAATTTTTTTATTTTTTTCATTCATAAAATTCATCATACTATTATGATGATTTTACTATTTATTTATTATACTATTATGATGATTTTACTATTTATTTATTGTTTGTTTTTTTATTAATTGTTCCAATTCTTCTTCGAATTGGTGAAAAAAGGCTATTCCTGATGCCCCACATGACGTGACCATTTTATATGAGGAAGTGACATTCTATGCATCATGGTTATGACCCAATCAGAAATGCTATTTTATGACCATTAAAAAAGATCATAATTCATTTATATTTGGCCGATGATATGATTATATTTTGATACAATAAATATGGATTTGGGGCTCATTTCACTATTCTTACTCATATATCTTACTCATAGCTCTTATCCAATAGGAATTTATTAAAATTTAGTGAATATTGTGATTATATTTTGAGGATGTTTTGACATATTTATATGGCTTTTCCTCTGAACAAGAATCTGCCACTGATATTTTAAACCACTAGGCCAGGGCTTCTCAAAGTTTTGAACTCGTGACCCCTTCCAATGGTTTAAAATGTTTTGCGGCCTTTCGTTTACATTAATAATAATGCTAAAACCGGGGACTGCTTGCATAACAATTAAAGCCGGCATTGTTGTGCAAGCATGCGTAAATCGGGTCTTACGATCAGAATGAAAAGTGTTATGCAAGCGCGATGATTCCATGATGATGTATTGACTCGAAATAGTGAGATTTTGTTTCAATAATTGTGTTTCGAATCAAGAGTCTAAAAAAGTACAATAGATATAGTATGTTGTGTAAAATTGATGTTTTCTTTTCTTCGCGGCCCTTGAAATTCGTATCACAGCCCCGCAAGGGAAGCCCTGCACTAGGCCACCGTTGCCATATTTAAAGCTCCATATTTCATGGCATAAGTTAAGGATGATGAATAACGGTATATGCTTTTAGTCCTAATTTTAATACAAAAAGAAAGTATTATAATTATAACTTCTTTCAATCAAATTAATTCTATACTGTTGATCAATAAGGGTAGAAAATTGAACTTGAAAATTAAAAAATGTTTTATTCAATTCCCTAAAATGTTTCTTTAAAGTAAGTTGAATCCATCGAATTATAAAATATTGATCCTTTTATAGATTTTAATCAAATTTATAGAGTGTTGACCCTGTTCTTATGTCATCAGCTTATCATGACAATTATTGGATATTGGCTAATATAATATATCAATAAGGAGATAACTTGATATTGGTTGATATTACCAAGATTATGGCTTTCTTATGACTGCCAATATTCAGTTTGTTATGCCCCATTATTTCGGTACATCTTATGATCATATTCTGTTGTGTTTTCACTGTTTATATTAAATTTTATTGTTTTTGTTTACAGTCGAAGAAAGGGAAGATGTCTAATTATACTGGTGCAACACATCAACTTCGAGTTCGATTATTGGGTGGGCAAAATTTAGCTGCCAGGGATTCTACAGGTATGGTACTTTGCACTCACTTTTCCTGTTTTTTTGTTCTGGTAGCTACTTGTAAGGAATAGGGTTGCAAGGTCTTGAAGATTTACATCCAACTTCAAACTTTTTAATAATGACTCTGACAAAAATTTGGTCTTTGGCTACAGATCTCATCTCCAGCTTTAACTTTGACAAAATCAAATTTCAAGTCACAAAATTTTAACATATGTCAACCTTCTCAATCTTTCAGTGGAGACTGCTTAGTCAACCCAATGCTTTTTTAATTTTCTTCCTAAGTCTAAGTATCACAGTCTTCACGACTTTGCTTGACCACCAGATTGTAAATGCAGAACCGCCACTATGAACGCAATTTATTATTTTGATGACGTCATCGAAATGAATACTTTGAAGCAGTGGTGCGAGCAGCTAATTATTGCAACAATTAACCTTTGAGTTTTCTAAATTATGTCGGCAACGCTTTCTCTTTATCTCTTATTATCTTTTATTCGCTTAACATTGTTTATATGCCCCCCACCCACGGTGTAATATATTGATTACCGGTAGGTAATACAAAATCAAAGAAATTCCATTTTTTCGAATCATAATAGTTTCTTACATATCAATATTATGAGATATTAGTGGCTGTTAAACAGGGCCCCATTTAGAAAGAAAGGCACGAGTGAGCACTGTATGAAAAAAATTATTTAGTTACCTGCACAAAACTTCTCTAAAAATTAAATTGAACATTAAAGTAGATTTGTCAGCTCTTGCCATTAAAAGTTGTAAAAGTACGCTCACGAAATAGAGCTGCAACTTCTAAAATTTGTTGCCAACTCGCAGATTACATTTATAATTTATACGTTGGATATTCAATAGCTTTGTTGGGTCATGCGAGAAGTCTTTGTTTCCATTTATCATCGCCAAAAAGCTGGCATAAAATCAAGAAGTAAACAACCCTTTTTGAAACCGTATCAGGTTGAAAATCATCTACTGTTTATCTATGGCTGGGATATAAAATGAAAATATCGAACATAATTTGATTGATTTTTTTATACCCCAAGCATGAAAAAGCGAAACTTGAAATTTCTTTCCAGCGGTAAAGTGTGGAAATAATTTTAAGCATGACGAACTTCCTTTACCCTTTCTTTTAATTATTCATAACGTCTTTCCAGCCCATCTTAAACTGTCATCATATTGTCATTAGAACACATCACATTTGATATTTAATGCATTGTCACTATTCTAAAGACTGGATAACGCCACAAGGGAATTTGATGTACATGATCTAAAGATTTTGGAGTAATAGAATTACAGAATTATATTAAATATACAGACTTGTACCATTTTTGTGGCCGCGTCACATTGGTCTCGTGGTGAAAGCGTTAGACTCAGCTGCTTCTATGCTCATCATTTCACCCAGGTCGTAATAAATTTTGTAGAGAATGCTGGTCTGGTAATATTCCGGTCTTTTTAAAAATAGTGACTTTTACTCATCGCTAGATACCGGTGGCTTCTTGTATTGGGCCTCGTTCAAAGCGAATGGTGTCGTAAACTAATGTAAAATATGGAATATTCCTGAATTGTGTTGCGCATAGTGATGAGTAACAAAAGTGCTGAAGAAAACCAATCAAAACGCATTTATATCAAAACTATTCTGCATTATTGAATAATATTTATGAATGTATATTGATTTGTGAAAATCTCAAAATTTCAACTCAGACGCTTAAATCCTAGAAGTTTAAAAATATGACTCCAGTGAAAACGTTTAACTTTTGATTCAATACTGACTCTACAATCCTATTTAAAACCCACTGATCATTTCGATTTCTGACTATGATCTTAATCGTGAATTATTTTGTTGAACAGCAGTTATCAATACTCGATCTGTAATTTAAAATCTCGTTCCTTTTTTTATCAGGTTTAAGTGATCCTTACGTCAAATTTAAGTTCGGAAGCAGAACTCTATACAAAAGCAGTATTATAAAAGCAAATTTAAATCCAAAATGGGACGAAGAATTTACTACGCCCGTCAGAATGAGCGACTTGATCCATGTACGAGTCTTTGACAAGGATATAATAAGTGATGACTTTATGGGGTAAGTGAGCTCGACATTGGCTATAATTATTGTATAGATATTATTATATAGCTTTTAAATTATTGTATTGATCACGACTGGTACCTAGTGAAGATCTTCTCTTGTGTTCCCATTAGAAAATTCGTGGGTTAGGACTTAATAAAGTTCGTACCTGAGAACAGAGATTCACTAGCATAAATATGTCGATGAAATCATGGAGAGTGACACAATTCTCAGGAAACGCGTTCCAAGACCGCAATAGTTGTTTTCTGCACTTCTCTCTTGTATTTCCTTCTTTAATCCCACATTTTCAATATTCACTAACTCAACTATAAGGTCAATAAATGTTCGCTTTTTAATTGAGTCACTCTTAAATTAAATCAACTACGCTTCAAATTCTTTCTGATGAAACAAACATTGAGCTCCAGCAGACAATACTGAAATTTAAAATTTTATTTAAAATGGCAGATCTTGGCTCGCGTTTCAGGGGTTGGCCACCCTGGTCTAGTCTGGCAAATTCATTTTCTTTTAAAAATAGTAATTCCCTTCATAGCATTTGCTGCTTGTCTTGAGCCTTGTTTGGAGTGGATGCACGTACATATTGTATATATTTTAAAAAAATTGGCAGAAAATCGTGAACTACTTATCCTGAAATAGGTTCATGATGAATTTTCACCTTTTTCCCAAGGGATTTAACGATTTACTTATTCTGTATGCTGTTAATTCGTCGTGCATGACAGAAGTACATGCTTTCGCTATTGCTACTCCAAGTTTGAATATTTGTTATCACATACTTCAATACTGCAAGTTTTCCAGAAGGCTGTGAAACACCACTTTTCCACTTTCAGGATTGTGCATGTGGACCTACTGGTACTATAATATACAGATGTCAGTTATAAAAAAATAATTTATAAAAAAAATTTAATCCTCATTATTAATAAAGGTTTCAAAACAAATTCACATTATTGAAATTGCTTTTTTCACATAAAATTTCGTACATAAATATGGGTATCTCCAGATGGCCAAGTTGTCTGCACACACACCTTGGCAGTGTTGCATAAACTTACTAATATTTGATGTGTCAAAAAACTGCCCGTTAAAATCTCGAGGGAATGGTATTATGTGATAATAGGTCATTTAATCCTGACTCTCATGTCTCATCACCTCAGATATCGCAGGGCTTACCATACTACCAATGTTATGATGTAAATATAACAAAAGTATACAAAACAAATACAGACTATAAGCTGATTGATTTTTATGTCAGTGATTGTGGGATTATATATGATTGTAAGATCAATTTCTCACAGTTTAGAATTGTTCTTGTGTACCCAAAAATTTCTTCTTCCAAAAACACATCTTTTACGCAGAACATTCTAGATTTTCGATCTATGATATCAATCATTGGTAAATAACTATTCTCTTGATTTTTGTATTTCAGTGCGAGCTCGTTCGAACTTCAATCATTGATGGAAGATGAAGAAACTGAATTATCCCTCGATCTTGAGGATCAAGACGCAAATCAATCTGAAGAATTAGGACGAATACATATTGCAGTAACTCTTGTACCGATCACAGAAGATATCAGAGGAGGATATATTGATGTAAATGGAAAAAATTAACTTGCCTTATATTCAGAACGACACAAAAAACAGAAACCATAAATTTCTTAAGTATTTCAACGAAAATGAAATAAATTCATTCAACAATAAACTTCTGTTTGTGTATTATTGTACTCAAAAGTTTCAGTAATCTATGTTCTCCCTAGAACTGACATGTGGGCCAAATCCGGCCCGTTGCGTAATTCAATTTGATGCTGCCACAACTAAACTAAAACCAAATTTTGATGTTTAAGCTAAAAAATAGCTCAAGGAATTTGTTGAGATTTCGATTAAATTTAGTTTTGGCACGAGGCTCAATATGTTCCAACTGACCTGGAATCTGTTTTTTCATGGTCACTCACTCTGTTTAAAATATATCTGTTACTAGATTACATATATCATGTATTATACTGTTATTATGTCATGATCCATGTGCAAATTTCATCTTTTAGGTTAAATATTCATGACCAAAAATGCGGTAATAGGAATGGGAAATAATAAAATTATGATATAATTTGACAAGTAGACTAAACAACCCGAGTTAGTGAATGAAAATGAACAGTTATTGTTGAATTAGAAACGGGAGTGTGGTATCATACATGGGAAGCACATGTTTTTATTGGACACAAAGTGGAACTTTTTGGATTATTTAATAAATTGTTTTTATGGGGGTGGTTGTAAAAAATGACTTTTTTCCGCAACTACTACAAAAATCGATTTTAAATTTCCAGAACTGAAAATAGGAAAATATTGTTAGACAGCTTTATATTTTGGGTTGCTTCAAATTTTTTAGGCGGTCCAACATTTTTCTCCAAATTTTGTGATGGTCTTTTACCATTGTGTATTTGAGCATTGCTCTCTTGAATCTCTTGTTTTTTTTGCGAAATTGGATGAAAAATTAGGTTCAATATTTTAATATAATTAGGATATGGTTATGGATTGCCAGAATCTAACAATTTTCAATATGTAATCAAAAATGAATTCTGTTTTTTTATTCAAATTCAACTGTGAAAACACACTGGAAATTGTCAAGTTTTCATTCATTGATAATTAAATCTAATTAAATTCAATAACGGCAGCATGAAATTTCAATCTAATGATTATTTTAATGAGTAACATCTCTCGCACTAAGAGTATAACTTAGGTAATGCATATTGATATACAAAAATACACCTTTTTTTGTGTGTTTTCCTGTTGGAAAGTTATGACCTTATACTGGTTAAATTGAATTTTCAGACGTCATCAATTAGCGTATGTTATTATTTATTAGAAGATCAAACAGCTGTGATGTATTGTTATTCATATTTGTTTTGTCTGAAAGAAGGCTAATGTGTAAGGAGTTTTTCGTGTTCCCTCTAATAAATTTCATCTTTGCAAGTTACATTACTACAGTACAATTTGAGGTACCGGTAATCTGAAATGAAAAGAAATATGAAAATTGTGGGCACAATGGCCGATAACAGTTAAATAGTTTGACTCAATTGTGCTGGCATGGGATCCCCTATTCAAATCCATGTCCTCTACCTTAACCAGGGTGTAATATCGAATTGACAATCTCGAATCGCAACTATTTTGATCGTTTCACACATTGTAGCTTCTAACATATCGTTAGATATCAGTGGCAGCTCGTTTCGAAAGAATGGCACAATAATTTGTTCAACAACATTTTTTAATTGGTTTTTTCCTACTAGTACACGATATATTAAAATTTGTGATGCATAAAATGTAGACCTTTATTCCCACTAAAGTTGTAAATATACTGATTTGTGACAGTAAAATTGTCAAGTTTGAATATACTTAGCGTTGATAACTTGACATAGAGATATTTTTATTAAGGCACACTTCAAGTTGGTGAGAGACATGGTGTTATAACATGTTTCAATGGGTTCTCTATATTTTTGTATATTCTTCATCATTTCAGTAAAATTGGGATTTCTGTGAAATAGAACACAATAAAATTTGTCATATATCCCAAACATTTTCTAACATAGATATTCAAATTATCTGTAAAATTTCAAAATTAAGGCATATCGTGCTTGGCCCAAAGTTTCAGTGACCAGGTTTATTTGATCAAAGTCAGCGCTTTCCAAGCTTGGCCCAAAGTTTGAAGTTGGGGTTGTTTGATTAGGCATGTGCCGGAACTCATTATTTCATGCGCAGATGGTGGAAATTACTTGAGGTAAATTCATGAAAAATTCAAATACATAATGAATAACTTCATTAGGAGAGGAAATATGGTTAGACTGAATGAGTAAACAGTAAAAGTGATGTTGTTATAGGTTTTTTAGTACGACTCACTGGAAATTTTGATCATAAAAAAGCAATGAGAACTACACAACATTGACCTATCAATACCATCCGCCTTAACATAATTAGATAAATATATTTTTAATAAAAATTGGATTTGGGAATAATATATCTGTGTGTTCTTACTGAAATATTTTTTTATCAAATGTGTGTAAATGGTAGACATTTCAATAATATTTCCTATCTTACTTCATTATCCTTTACTAGCAAGCAAACAAAATTCATGTCCTGTTTTAAAAGTGTTATATTTATTTGGGCCGGTATGGCTAGCGATATGGTTTGCAACCTTTTTGGGAAGCGAAACCCTAATTACTCTTTGATTTGAATGGAAACTTGCGGAACCCTGTGTCTCCGGGTCAAATCTCATCCAGTGTGTAATAATTTGTGTAGACAATGTCAAACTAGAAAAATTCCGATCTTTTCAGATAATAGTGGCTCCTTACCAATCGTGAGATGTCGAAGCTTGTATTGGGCATTGTTCGGAGCAAAACGCATGAATAAGAGTCGAATAAAAAATCATTTCATATTTTAGGCTGGTCATTTGTCACCTGAAGATTTTCCAGATAATATGTCTGTTACAAGTTGGAAGGCAACTTCACTTTCTAGATCGGACAGCAATGCATCAGACATTAGCAGAAGAACAACAAGTAAATGAAATTATATGATTTTACAATCGTGTGAAACTCTCCGGGTTGTTAACAGTATTTACATATATGGCTTGATTTTTTATATGAAATTGATGAATATGTTAATATTCGCTTGCCTGTATAACTTGCTTCCAGAGCTGTAGAGTTAAGTTCAGCACGCTTTCACCGGGGACAAAATTTTGAATTCGACTAAGTCTAAATTTCTATAGTGATAAAATAAGCTAAAACTTTCATCTAAAACTTGAAAAGGATTAATTTTATTGAGGTTTCTTAGCAGCTTATTGAAGCCAGAGTTTTCATTCACCAAAGCTGGATCTCATAGTTTTTTTACAACCTTTGAGTCAGGTGTGAAAGTTCAAATATTTCTTCACGGAGTCAGAGGCCCGGAACCAAAATTTTTTTTTAATCTCGATCTAGGAGTCAGAGTCAATTGCAAATTTTAATCGACCGCACAAGCTGCTTGCTAGCTTGTTCATGGCTGTATTTGGAGCCAAAAAATATTGAATTTGTTTGTGTAGTTTTATTGAGGCAACCCTCTTTTATATATATAAATGGGGACGCTAGAAGATTGCTGGACTCCTCGCCGTTGTAGGTTGGGAATAAATATAAAATTCATTAAGTGAAATTTGTTTCCCTAAGCAGTTTCAGAAATGAGATTCAAAAAAATGAAAGTACCTCTTGGCACTGCGACAATACAACTGGTATCAGGCACGGATCTTCCTGCGAGAGATTCAAATGGATTTTCGGATCCATACGTTAAACTACAGATGGGAAAACAAAGACATAAAAGCAAGGTTGGTTATTTTAATTACTCATTTCTTGACTGATTTCAATATTTCTGCTGCATTTTATGTATTTGGCAAAAGAATTTTGTGATTCAGAATATATAAAGTTGTTGTAAAGAATTTCTTTAGACAGATGTTACAAATATATTTCTGTAACGTTTTGTCACACTGAGGTCAGACTTCTTCAGACAATCATAACAGATGATATGTTGAAGAAATACATTTGTGTTAGAGTGCAACAAGACTCATGAATCAAATAGAGTAGTCTTTATTTCTGCCACAGCATCCATGCAATATACACATACGTATCCACTTGCGCAAAGGCATATGGCAAGGAAAGGTAGTTAGTCTCGCATAACCCCAACTAATTTTTTAGTACACACGGAATTATCTTCAAATGCACAGTTTGGAAACCACAACTTTTGGAGATCCATGTTTACCAAGATTGTCATGTTTAGCCAAACCTTTTGAAAACAGTGCAAGGGAATGGACATATTTTCTTAGATCTAAATTGCACTCATCACTTGTCATCAGGATTTTTCAGCCACAGAATTATTATGCAACGGGTTGCTTATCTGAAGCCAAGCTCTGAGTGAAACTATGGGATTTACTAAATTTAAAATTATCGAATCCCAGGTTTGCTACAGAACACTTGATCCTATCTGGAAAGAAGAGTTTGTCTTTCAGTTGACCAGTAGAGAATCACTTGATCGCGAACCAGCTGTAATCGATATGACCGTTTGGGATAGGGATTCATATCGGAAAGATGATTTTATTGGAAGGTACGTTCATTTACTTTACATTTTCCAAATGAAGCTATGTACACTGGAAACAAGTAAGGCCTCCAAGCTTGAGTATTATCAGAATGCAGGTATTGATGCCCAAAACCATTGCTCGTTATATAAAAAAATGCACTACGGACATTTCAAAAATGCTAATGGAAGCATTGATTTTGGCTTTCCATTTTCGAATCACTCAGAGATAACCTGTCACACGCAGTTAAGATTAATTTTAATAGTCGAATGGATTGGATGGTGCGAATGACAGGCATTGCGACTCAACTGAAATTTGGGTTTATATGTAATAAATACATTCCTTGGCCAAATGAATAAAGGTGTGGCAGGCTGGGGTTAGGTTTCTCTTAGAGATCTCTTTCCCGTGTTGTGGAGTGGGAATGCCATATTCACTTACTTTTATATTTTAACGCAGCCTTTTTGAAACTGGGATCTCGATCCCCTGGTGGGTCATGACAAGGCTCTATGGGGGTCGAGGTACGTTTCAAGAACATTATTAAAGTATTGATGAAAAAATATTTCAAGCAGATGTGAAAAAATGATCCTAACTTGAAGAAACTGAACCTTACATGCGGGCCGAGAAAATTTTATTTTAGACAAACAAAAAAGAATGTCTTTCCCAGCCAGAACAAAACCAAGCTTAAGCCATCATGTGTGACGGAACTATTGTTATGTCACAACTTCGCTTCTAGTTATTTGAGATTCTATGTTTGAAGAACATGAAGACTAATTTTGGGCTACCGGTACTGAAGTCTGAGGGAGTTAAATCTGGTTAAAAATAAGCAGTTGGTAGTGACTGGGTTTGATAACAAGTGCGATGGAGCAGTAATTGTTGAGTTATGATAAAAAAAAGTTTCAAGAACACTGTTCTAACATAACATCATGAACAGATCTACTTCGCACAATGGATCTAAATTAAGCCAAATATTCTACGACTTTGGATATCTGGAATTTTTAAAAATATACCGCCAAAAAAGAATAATCTGCTTGAAACTTTTCTGTTGTCTTTCTATGACTCATGATGTTATCTTTTATGTGTATTACCAGGTGTGAACTTGATCTTGGATCATTAGAATATGATAAAACACATTCCTTCACTCTCAATCTGATTGATGCACCTGGTTCTATTCTGATACTCGTGACATTGCAATCTTGCATACCTTCAGATATTCATCGAAGCAATAACGAACTTGTTCATCTGACAGATCAATATGTGAGTGGAGTTTCAGTTGAATATAAAGATTTCATATAAAATTTGCTAGGATCTTTTATGTTTATTCCGAGGAAATACTGTTGCACAACTCAAATGAGCTTACGTGCCAAAGTATCCAAATTCTTTTGTCGCTGGCTAGCCACGCCGAGTTCATATAATTGTTCGTGTTGTAAATGAACTTCGTTAAACTTAAAATACATGAACTAACTTCAATAAAACTCAAAATAACGAATAACTATTTAATGTCCTGAAAAACTGCTGCATTGAAGATGTTTTTAACCAAGTTTGAAATGTTGGCTTAAAAGCGGAAATAGCAATATAATCATAAGTTTATTGTTTTTAGAATTATAGCTGTAATTTACCTTAACTGACCGTGGTCAGACTACGTTATCAGTTACTACATTCATCATTCTCTCTGCTCCTTTGAAGAAAATTCGTTTTCTTCTTATTCTGATGTACCAAGACACAGCAACTGAACAACGAGAATATCGGTTGGAAACCGAAGACTTATCGATCGATAGTTAGGGGATCCCCCAAAACAGAAACTGCAGTTTCGATTCATCCGCTCTTGTAACTTGCGCACTGCGCATCGCACACACACACTCGGCGGGTCTTAAAATTCTCTCGCTTTACAAAAATCTAGATCACTATATCAATAATTGATTGATAACTCGCTAATTATACGACATAATTCGCCCAAAATCAATAGGTTTCTGGTCCGAAATAAGATGAATGCACATGCAAAATTTGGAGCAGATTCAACATCGCATTCGCGAGATATCGCGTTCATCTAACAGACACACACACACAGACAGACAAATACCTACAATATAATAATCAAT